AGCAAAGGGTCTGAATACTTATGACCATGTGATATTTCAGTTTTTCTTTTTTAATAAATCTGCAAAAATGTCAAACATTCTGTGTTTTTCTGTCAATATGGGGTGCTGTGTGTACATTAATGAGGAAAAAAATGAACTTAAATGATTTTAGCATATGGCTGCAATATAACAAAGAGTGAAAAATTTAAGGGGGTCTGAATACTTTCCGTACCCACTGTATCTCAGCTGCTGACACTGTAGCATTTCTAATTTAGTTCCCTCAGCCCATCGATTTATGGACTTTGAGTTTAAAGGAAACCAAAATGTTTTCTATTTTTAATGCACTGAATCTAGATGTGATGGATGACAACAGACAACAAAGAAAGACCATATCAGTCAAAACTTGCTTCTTTTTAAATGAATGAATGACCGTGAACCCACAGCCACCCATTTGCTACCCACATGCGATGCCGCTCTTCAGTGGTCACATTCTAATTGCTTCTTGTGGGGCTTTATTTTTTGCTACACACAGTAAATGTAGCTCTGAGTAAAAGTTCAAGTTTCACATCAAATGAGTCGCCAGTGTCATGGCTGTTATATGGAGTACAGGAAGAGAGAACAACATGTGGGCAGGCAGGTGCAGCTAAGTAACTTTCATAGAACAAATGACACTGACCAGGCAGGCAGATAACAGGTGGTAAATAACAGGTTGTAGGCGAGACAGAACAAGGGGACAAAGGGAGACACATTCACCTTAAGTGCATAACATAAAATGCCTGTTGCTCCAAAGTGCATAACATAAAATGCCTGTTGCTGTCATGACATTGTGGGTGCTGTTACTGCAGCCCGTGACCTTTTCCCACATCCACCATTACTTTCAGCTGCTGCCCCATTGAAAAAGCCACTGGGTGCATGGGCTCAAGAATGGAAAGATTATTTGGGTAACGGCACCACCATTTTTAAGCTTTGTTGGTATTTTCATTTGAAGTCTCTCAACACAAAAATCGGTTGTGTTTGTTAGTTTGACACTAGCTGTTTCTGAAGGGGGAACGATTTGTTGTGTTCACATGAAATTCATTCATTCACCAGTCTGTTCAAATGAAATCTCAGTCTCAAACATAAATTTATGATTTTGTTACCTGAAACTTGCTTTCATGATAAAATCATTACACACAAAATATGTTCATAAAGCATGTCTAGAGGGGATCTGTTGCTGATACTTGATTCTTTTTTTATTTAATTTTTTTTGTGGGAAATAGAATTTTAATTTAATCAGATTGCTTGAATACTGATTTTTTTCTCTTTGAGTTACTTTATATCAAAAGTAATTAGACTGAAGAAGAAAAAGTTACTTTGGATTTCTGTTCAGACCTTTAAAGTAATTGTAGTGTAAGAACTATGTGAGATGACTAGCCATTCTCAAGCTTGTAAAGGAGAAACTACAGCCTGGAGATGCCTTAGCTTAACTTAACAAGATTGGAAATAAGGTGAAAGAGACAGCCTGGCACATACGTAAACCCTAAAAGACTGCAACTTGTTTTGTTTTTATTTACTCTTCAGTTGTTGCACAACTTAAACAAATGTCAAGAAGTGAGGTTTAGAAGCAATGCATGGATTGTATAGCCTTCATAGCCAGGCCAGCTGGTTCTTTGCCCTAAGGTAAGTTAACCCGCTGCTGATTGTAGATTTATATATTATCATACCTCTTGTTAAAAAAGCCAATATTTGTATTTCCCTGAGTGTCAAACTATTCCTTTAAAGTTGTGCTACAGTAGTAGTCTGCAGCATTACATCGCAAGCAAAGCCAAATAAAATGAATAACATAAAAAGACTTGATTTTGATTCAAACTCATTCAAGCCTATGACTTAATAAACTGATTTATTCTGTTCTAAATTGAACCTATTTGACTATGATGTCATTTAGGAAACTTTAACAATGTTGTGAACCTGTTACGACTGCAGAATCAATGGAGTGTGTAGATGATACAGTGAATCAAAGCTCAAATCAGACGCTCTCACCCCAGAGAGGTTGGACCTGTAATAGAGATGTCACCAGGCAACAGAGTTTCCAGAGTGTTGGAGCAAAAGCAATATAGATCATCTGCCCTGGACCTGATGACATAGATTTAGCTCCAAAACTGCCTAGGGAACATGAGAAAATCAGCATTCCAGTAGCCATAATAGTGCTGTCTGGTGCTTGCTTACAGAATGTGGGTGTCTGCATGTGTGTAATTGTGTGCATCTAATGTAAGTACCGTATCCTCAATACATGTAGGCAGTTAAAATTTGCATCTATGAGAAGGTTGAGACACAGGAGGAGAGGGTGACAGACTAGGCTATGGGGAGACAAGCCTCCTTGAATACACACTGGGCTGCTAATCCTATGCCATAGGCATGATTTGAACTGAACTATGTAAAGCATTCTGGAAACAAAAACAACTTCCTGCAGCCTGGAGACAGCATGTGAAGAATAATGTATAAAGTGTTTTAATCTCTCATTTTACTTCTTTAAAGGCAGTGAACATGCTGAACAGTAGACAGTAGAAGTACATCAATGCGCCCACTGAATCATCCAACACACACACAGCCAAACATGCAGCCTGTGACAGTGCAGTCTCAGCAGGTGGTGTGTATGTGGGTGGTGTGGGCGCATAATATTCATCTAGGATGGCATCTACTCCAAGCCAAGATGGATTATAGATCTTGATTCCCACCTTCTGTGGGTCAGGTTCGCTTCCTCACACAGGAAGCAACAAGAGCCATAGAAAAGCAGTTAACTCTAAACACAGTATACTTCACGATGCACATAGGACCACCATTGCATTTTGCAAGATTGTGCAGAGCTGAGTGTTTAAACTACAGTGTTTCATTTTTATCTTTTTTTAAAGGATGAAAATAGAGTGACTGAGCACAGACTGCAAAAGAGAAAAGCTAGAACTGTGTTTTCAGTCACTGCCAAGATTCAATAAGATTGCACTCTTGGCTAGTGGTAACAGTTTGTATGCTTTTCAGTTGTTATCATTTTTTTTCTAAACAAATATTTCCATGGTGAGATGAAATGAATGTAACCCAATTTTAGGTAAAAATATATGGTGCAGTACATACATCCAGCCTTTGTTTGAGGTTTATGAAGCATTTTACAACACATTCATGTTCCATTCATTAATAATATTGATAATCTTTTTTATACTCACTTTCACTTTTCAATCTAATCTGATTTGACATGTTTCTATATGAATATGCATGAACTGTCTGCCAATCACTATTAAATCTTCCATCTGAACATCTGCTTCAGTGCCTGCGCTGTAATTTTGTATTTGCGTGTATGATCGGAAACACTCCCTTCCTTCCTTTGGCTTTCCGTCTGGTGTTCAGCAGCCAAGTGTTGCCTTGTGGGTAAAGTCCTGTTCAGGCCATCCCTCTCCAGGTGGTCTGAAACAGAGCTGCCAGAGCCGTGTTCATCTTATGCAAGATTATCCAGCCAGTGATTCAGGACTGACTAGTTTCACACAGCAAAGCTTGCAGTTCATCTGTGTTGTGCATGAGGTGGCGGGACTCTCAGGCACAAGCTGTGTCTCCTAGACACAGCTTGTCGAGATCTGCCACTTTTAAATGTCATTCATGTCATTTCATCCAGAAGAAGGGTGTCACACCGAAAAAGGAAGAAGCGAAATGGACAGATTGCTTTGGATGGTGAGTCAGTGAGAGAAAAGCTGTGTTCATTAATAAATGTATGCACACGTGTGAAAACACATGAAGAAATCAGTGCCTCTTGCTAACAAGAGAGACTGTCCCTGTCCCTGTCACTGAATGTACCTTATATGGAACTTTCCTTCATTTTCCTGATTTTTTTTTTTTACCCAAATCACCTGCAATCTCTGCAGTCCACGTGCCTTTGTTTTGTTTCTTGATCCATTCCAGGTGTCATATTAGCTGGAGAGAAAAGACAATGGAATTATGCAGCATTATGAATCAGATACAATGTGCCAAATCATAGATTGTAGAGAGACTGCACAGTGCACAGAGAGAGAGAGACTTCCTAGCAGACATCACCGGCCTCCATGTACCATTGACTCTCCACCAATGTCCCAGCTGCTGATGGAACCACTAGACCCTAATATCTATCACCTATACTGCTTATCCTGAGGACAGTCATGAGTGGGGAGCCAGGAGCCAATTCCAGCTGACACTGGGTGAGAGGCAGGGCCTTTGAGCAAGGCCCTTAACCTCTGACTGTACAGCAGGTCCCTGGTTGCATTTGGCATCTTACAAGTAGGAATGTATTAACTGGGTTAGTGTTAAATGGAGCATTGCTCTCATAAAGTATTACAGGCACAGTAGTAATTGTAGACATCATATACAAAATATGATCATGAAACTCCCTTTGAGAGTAAACTCATGTGTACAGGGTAACAAAGTTTATTAAGTGTTGATCACAATAACAACAATTCTTTCTGGTGCTGTGTGTCCTGCTTGTCCAGGTGTAGTGACTTTATAGGAATATTCTTTGTGAGGACAACACAACAAATTCTCAGACTTTTGCTGTGGCTTCATGCATTAGTACATTAGCTTTCTACTAGTGTAAAGCAACTGAAATAAAGAGTCAAATAAAAAAAGAAAATCATTTACAAATCATCTAACTTTTGGTCTACAGCAGATCCATGAAAACATCATTAAGGCTTGAAAGTTGCTAAAAAATACTCTTTCTATGAATAGCACCTCTAAATTGAAATTTCACACAGAGCTTTCCTAAATGAATAATTTATTGTTTCATAACTACTCATGCTGTAGATTATTTAAGGTTCAAATATGTTGGAGGATTGAGAAAACAGGGCTAAACCGAGGGGTCAGGGATCAACAGCAAAGTTTAACCCAGGAAGACATCACCATAGCTGCCCACTCCCTCCACCTTCTTGTCTCCAGCCTGGTCAACCAGCTCAGGGAAGTGAGTCCCCACACAGACATTGACAGCCTCCCTCACCACCTCTGGCAGAGACCTCAGTTTCTGATCGTGCTCCTTCAGGGCCTCCTGATTGAGCTGCAGACACAGGGGCCAAAGCTTAGTCAGAAGTGCTTTATTTTAGAAAATGTGTCTGTGTTTAGGAAATATGCTCAATACTTAGTCAGTTATGATAAATGATATCACATGGTTATGTCCTCATTTGTCTCTTTGTTTTTTTTAAGTGTTACTTGAATTCCTCCCACTTCTTCTCACAATATCAAAAACTGGATTCTTAAGCTAATACTACTGGTGAGACACAAAAACACAGCATCCATCTGGCATTCACACGTCAATGTCTAAACTATCCAACACCTCTTTTCTCAATACCAACTGCCAAGATGTCACCAAATCAAAGCCAAGCATTGTCATAAAAGTGTTCTGACATCAGCTGCAGCGGTGGGAGCTTGCTCTGTGTTTTCTCGGTTGCCTAAACTGGATGTGTCATACTGCAGCATTGCATATAACCACTGAATGGACAGATGGCCACAGTTGTATTTGAAAAAAAAGGGGATTGTTGTTGTTATAGTTTGGATTGTAGGTGAGTGTATATGCATGTGTGTAATAAAATTTACATTTAATCAATGTAGGGAGGAAATCTCAGTCACATTATGGTGAAACACCTACTGTTTGAGAGGTGAGTTCTCATAGTGGGATGAAACGGGACAAATTGTAAACAACATGAGACAGACAGTACATTTTGGGGTTAAGCTTAGTTTTAGTTAAAGGTTAGGGTTCCAACAGATTTGCACCCTGTGTGGGAAAAAACAATGATGGAAGTGCGGGGACCAGCACAACTGGGGGCTCCAACAAAAAGGTGCAGAGCTGTAGGACAAATCACATTGGATCTGATTTAAACTCTGCAACACAACACTGCCCAGCCATATGCTGTGTAGGCCAACCACTTCATGCAATTGTGTGTCTCTGGTGGATTACTTTGTAACGTGAATTCTGTATTTGTGCTGTATATGTTAACTTTTCAGAGTTGTACAGTCCTTTCTATGAGTAGTACAAACAACTGTGCTGTGTTTTAGCATCTAATAAGCTTTAAAAACATAAATCTGTTTCTCCATATTTCCTCCTGTTCCTCTGTTTTTCATCAATACATGAAACAATTTTTTACACAAGACAAATCTGAAGAAGTCCTAATGGTTTTGGTCAAGGGTAGGGCATAGTAAGTCTCCAGAGAATAACTCTAATAGAGGGTTTACTCTAGAAGAACTTTCCCAGGAGACCAAAGCCCCATTTCCACCAGAGGAACTCTGTGGGGAGCAGGAACCTTTATTGGAAAGTAGTTCCTCTACGTGCATGCATTCCCACCAGAGGATCCAGGGTCTAAATGTAGTCCCAGAGTATAGTTCTCCCCCTGAAAAAAAGTACCTAATTGGGGGTAGTGCTTTCTGACGGTCCAGGAACTACTGTATCACTGGGAGTGAGTGGACATCACTCATTGGTCAAATACAGGAACTGGAAAACAAACTGGACGAGCTAAGGGCTAGGATTACAGCACAATGGGAAATCAGAGAATGCTGTGCTCTAGTTCTCACTTGGCTTGACTTTCTGACAGAGTCCCAGATTCCACTATTCAGCTAGAGGCTCACTCTGTACATAGAGGAGACCACACTGCTGCTTCGGGGAAGGTAAAAGGAGGAGGTGTGTGTGAGAACAGGAACCTTTTGAAGAACTCAAAGCTGTGACCAGAGGAAGCAATTTAGTTCCTGCAGGATAGCTCTATGTGGAAAAAAACATCCTTGCTTAGAGGGTAGTGCTCTTTGATGGTCAACGAAACACATGATAAGAGTTTGCAGTGCTGAACACTGCTAACTGATAAATCTGTCACTGATAATTTACCTAGTCCTCATATCATTTCTGATTTGCTGGAAACAGACAATAATGTGCAAAAGGAACTTTTAGTTCCTTCAGTTTTTGTTCAGAAAGAGCTATAAGTCAGTGAAACAGCTTCCCACATGACAAAACCCCAGCGCACCCTGTGTCAGTGTGTGTACCTGATTAGTCAGAGTCTTAATTTCTTCCAGTGTAGCAGCCTGTTTCTTCATCAAAGCCTCTTGCTGTGGGCTGTAATCTGAAGACTGTAACAGTACAATAAAGTACAACAGAACATGTAACTACTGAAAACACTTTTCACCTGTGGTTTGAGACTCTGTGTGTGGGTGGGGGTGAAGGGGGGATCTGGTATCAAGTGAGGGATAAAGACTAATTGCAGTTCTACAAGCACTTCATCTGCTCATGTTTCTTTCTGTGAGTGTATCTGAAGAGCAATGCACCCAGGGGTTGCAACCTGACTGAGAGAATCGATCCAGTTAAGGCACAACAGGTTGGACTTGTCCAGCTCAGTTACCCAGCTCTTACTGCACAGTATTATTACGTTCAATAGGGAGTCTGTGTTGATTAAACAAGAGATTGGGTTATAAAAGGTTACAGTAATTAATGGGCAAACGCTGATTAAGTAGATCAAAATGAGCTATAATGTGGTCCTAATGTGCAGAGGGTTGTCTGTTGCCATCCAGATGGAGTTGATCAGAGAGGAGCAGGGTGAAATGACAACAGGTCTGAATCTTGGTGGAGCTCAGTGAGTCATCGACCTCACATGGATTAGCCCACTCCCTGTAAACAGCTTCTGAGTAATGGACAAGCCTGGCCTATGGTCAGGGCTCACTGCACTTTACTCAGTGGGTAAAAGGGTGTGTGTGTGTGTGTGGGTGGTTTAGGACTGAATGGATGGGCACGCTCACATGTGTGTACTTACAATTCAGCAGTATGTCTGTGCATGTTTGTAAACAACATGCATTGGGTGTATTATATGTAAGTGTGTGTGCAGATATATAAAAGGAAAGCACTGTCACATGTCTAAAGTGATTCCCCCCCATGTTTTAGTCAAATCTTGCTTGTTGTCTCTTGGTAACTACAGTTACACAGTCAAAAATAATATGTGTTAAACAGACCTGTGGCTGTTAAGTGTGAGCTGTGATATGAATGTTTTAGGTACATGTAAACAAGGTCAAAGTAAATAGAAGTGTCTACTTTCCAGTATTTATATACATTGTTATTACCTTTATAGAAATAATGTGGCATGTTGGAAATTGGGCCTATTTGCTGTCTTACTGAGAGTCAGTTAATTGTACACTAAATATGTAGCTACAGCCAGCAGGAAGTTATCTTCTGCATCTCTGCTTGTCATGAGATGAGAATATCGACACCGCATTCATGACTGTCTGGTATCAAACGTCACAGCTAACTCTCGGCAAGAAAGCAAATATAAGCATTTCCCTAATTGTCTTTCAGTGAGTTTAAAAGAACACTGTGTCATACTTACTGCGCCGTCAGACTGACTAGCCTCATCCAGCTGTTCTGTGCTCATTGCCTTTTTCAGCCTAAGTGAAGATAATTATAATTTTCAATTAGTCCTCTTGTATATAATGTTAAAAATCAAATCAAACTAGACTTAAAGTGCAGTGCCATGTGGCAGAGAGGTAGGAAGCTGAACCATTTCTCATCATGTGTTGTCTCATATTTCTTTTCATTTGGGATAAGAAGCTGCAGCTCAGTGACACAAAAGGCAGTGAATGGAAACATAAAGCAATTGAAGTCAAGGTCACACTGTGAACTCACTTTGCTTTTTCTGAGGATGAACATTTTGAGGACATTTTCTTCTTATTTTCTTTGCTTTCACTGCAAAACAAGGCAAAGACAAAAAGTAAGCTTGATTCAAAATCTAAAAATGAAAAGCGGCTGAGTAAACAACCTTTTTACTTTAAACTAGAACTGCAGGGCTGTGTGTATCTGATGTGACTTTTTCTTTAGAGTAAAAGGGAGGCCTAGGGTGATGTTACAGTGTCTGTGTGGACAAGGAGAGGACCAGGGCTGCCTTCATTTCCCTACTGCTGTTTAAACACCTGCTTGATAATGGTTGTCCTGAGTTAACCATCTGCCAGCTAGGGGCTTGGGATAACACACACACAAAGTGTGATAAGCCAGGCAGGGACACTGAGGTAATTAATTAATTATTTAAGGTATTTTCTATGCAAAATGTCAAATGCTGCACCTCAGATGATACACAGCAAAATCTCAAGGCACAAACTGGACCAGGTAAGCATGTCCTAAACGTGTTGTATGTGTGCTCTCACCTCTCCAGGGTCTTCAGTTCACTCATATGTCTCTCTGTGGCCATCTCCATCAGTTTGGCTAGTCTCTGTCACAATAGAAGAAGTAGCGCGATCACAGTCAAGAGAGACCCAGAAATTTAGACTTGAGTTATTCTAAATAACAATGTCAGTGCGGTGTGTGATCAAAGTCTTTCATTTGTAACCCAAACAAAAGTTCAGCCCTCTGGTTCTATGTTTGACCAGTACACTTGGCCCAAGATCCGGTGCTGTCAGTTCACTCCATAACTCTTCTACAGCATAGTCTCCACTCTGACTCTGAGGTGACAACCTTTGAAAATGTATTTGATTGACCCTTCAGCCTTATGCAGATTCAGAGTGCCCCGATCACATAGGTCTGATGTATAATCAATAGAGGCTGTAAAGCACTGGCTGCTCACCCGTGATCAGAGACAGAACAGGGAAGCACAGAAGATGCTCCATGAGAGATGGGATTGCATCCTGAAACATGACAATGAATCCAAATTTTGGGGTCAATCAATAATCTATTAAAGACAGCCAGGAGATGAGGATGAGGAGCACAAAAAGACAGCCAGGAGATGAGGATGAGGACAATGGTGGTTGGATGAGGAGCACATGAGATCAGCATACAGTAGGGTCAGTTGTGTGCCCTTCTCCTTATGCAGTGTTCACTGAATGAGTAAGAGCACCCCATATGTCAGTTTAGTTTTATTTTATATCTACTACTGTTTAAGAATGTGTTCATGAAACAGATGGAGACTTTTCTTAGGAAAAACCAATGAACAATTTAAGGAAACACTTAGGAAGATGTTGGGGTATGTGACCCAATATTTTAATGAGCCATCTTGGATTAGACTTGTAAAGGCAAAACTGTTTTCTACTCACTAATGTAGCAAACTGCTCTTTTTTCTTCTTCAGCTGATCATACTGATCTGTCCACAGATCTCGCAGCTCAGCCTGCATTTTTTCCTTCTGCTCCTGCACCAGTTCTGTCTTCACACTGGAGTCAGAGGTGTTTCCCCCTCCACTTGAATGCATATAAGATGATACAACACAGCAGGGCATATGCAAGGAGAGAAGAATAGAGCTTAGCAGCCATTACTCCTCTAGGTACAGAAATGACAGTAGCCTACATCTCATAACAAAGAGAATGTTACAGCAATGACCTTGAATCAAATGTGCTGTCCTGAAACCTACGTGTGTGAAAAGCACTGCAACCTAATTTAATTTTGTTGTTCTCTGCATCCTCTAATGTTCTGCTTTAGAAAAACACATTAGCTGAGGGATATTCTCTGTGCTTCTCAATATAATCTCAGACCCAAACAACATCTTCATTAGTGGGTCAGTGTTACTATGCTGTAGAATTCACTGCTGCTTAGATCAGCCTTTGATGAATAACTAAACATGAACAATTAGAGGGATCTTCCTACTACCTTTCCTTCATCGACACCGCCCCCCAATATCGCCAAACATGTTTCTCTGTCCATATTTCAGCTTGAAAATGACTCTGAATCAAAAAATGGCAGCAAATAGAACAAAATAATAAGTCCTCTTACTCTTTTTTCTTCACTGAGAGCTTCTTCTTGATGGCCTTGAGAGAGTCTGAGTATTTTTGATTCAGGTCTTCTCCTTTTTTCTGATACTTCTTTTCTACTTCTTTCATCTCTTTCTCCTGACGCTTGATGACCTTCAAATAGTTCTTGTGCTGTTTCAGTTCTTCAGTAGTCACAGTCAAAGGCTCTGCAGCATAATAACAATATAATAATAATAATAATAAGGTTTTTGTTGTGAGAATACTCCTACTTGTGTTGGCAGTGGATATGCACTTATAATACATCTATTCAACAAAAGATAGCTCTACATTGGGTTGCGTTTTCCATCTCAGGGACCTTTACCCACAGTGTATTGGCAGCAGAAAAATGTATAGTGCAGCACATGATGTACAGTATATCATTGTTACCTTCACTGCTTGTCAGCGGCTTAGATGAGTCATCTGATCCTGGTGCTGGACAGGACATGAACATGGCATCAGGCTGTCCTGGAGCCTCCTCTGTAATTGTTTTATTGTCTGAGTTAGGCTCAGGGTTTGTGCTGGAGTCATTCACCAGTTCAGCTTTGGTTACAGGAGCTGTCTCTCCTTTTTCCACAGGGGAAGAAGTGGCTTCAGGGAGGGTTTCAGATGCTTCTGCATCTGGTGCTGGAGCTGTTTCAGGAGGTTGCACTGCAGGTTGAGGAGTAGCTGTTGTGTTCCCTGCCTCTGCTTTTATTTCTTCTGCTCTAGCTTCTGGTGGAGACTGGGATGATTGGTCATTGTCATTGACAGGCGGTGTAGGTTCGGATGAAGGCTTTTCTACGGGAGGTGGATAGTTCAATGATCTAACACAATTTCTTAATTCAGCACTAAAAACCTACTACAAGGGTCAGTATTTTTTTAAAATTAATTCTGAACAACACGTCCCCTTCACAAGCTTCATTACCTGTGGCAGGGGATCCACTTTCCTGATCTTTGCTCGAGGGGGTTTGGGCCACAAGAGGCAACTCATAAGGAGAAATGTAGTCAGAAGATGACTGATTGGACACAGAAAAGACAGGTATATCACATTTTAGCAGGCCTGGGCATCTTCCAGTGAGTTAATTTGTGCTGTTAGAGTTTTATAGAAGAACTGGGAACAGAGAAACCTCGATAAACTTCAGTTGTTTCAAAATGCCACAGACTGGTTTATAATGACAGGAGACACATTACTCCCATTTTAAGCCTGAGATCCTCTAGTAGGGCACTTCTGGCCCTTTGTAGAGCTAAACTGTCAGGTTTAACCGGCTGCACCTGCCTCTCTCACCTCCCTCTCTTTGTTTTTTTTGGCTCCTGATTACACCACCTTGCACACCTGCTTCACATCCCTTGATTAACACCAGCTGCACTTCATTAGTCCTTCACCTTACTTGTACCCGGCTCACTTATACTCCCTTGCCAGTTTGTTGATGCTCTCAGGCCAACAACCGGCGCCATTCTCTTCACCAGTGTGTATATGTTTATCCAGTTTTGTTCCCTTTCGTCCACCCGCTCTGTTCCTCCTCTCAACCCTCTCCACAAACAGTTACCTCCAGATCATATCTCCTCACCACTCTTCCAGTCAGGTCGGTACACAGTCGTCAGACTCCATCTGCTTACCACCCTTCTCTACTCTGTCTCCTCAGCCGTTACCACCTCCACCGGCCAGCCCAGGAGTGACCTTAGCGTCCGCAGCTAGGCCAGCTTCATCTATGCCTCCCATGTACTGTTATTGCTAGCTGATCAGCACCCAGTCATTCTCATTCCCATTTTCCTGTTTAGCCTTACTTCTCACCTCGCCTGTGTATATAATCTGTATAACACGAATAAATATTGCTTGCACTGAAGTCAGCCGTCTGGGTTCGTTCTGTTTTTCGCTCACTCACCCTCCCGTGTGTGAGCATTTCTAACATAAGCTAAACTCTGGGGTAAACCCATTCTCTTCTGTTACAACACTTTAAAAAACTTTTTTTACACTTGTTTTTCAATTTTATTTTAACCTTTCCCATTGTTTTTTTAATTGTCTTTTTTTTCTTATATTACACAAAGCACCTTGTAAAATGTTTTTAAAACAGATGTGTAAATAAAGGTAATATTACTGCTGTAATTTTAGTCGATGATGCCTGAGTGAAGTTGCTATAAGAGCTTTTTCTTACCTCCTTGGGAGTCTTCGTGGTCTTCTCTGTTCCCTTTGTTGGGTTAAATAAAGCATCTGTGAAATCTGAGGTAGAATCAAATACTTCAGTGTACGATGATGCGATAATTTATCATTTGACAAACTGAATGTAAATATTACTAAGTTCCACACATTTGAACTAATTCTGCCTTGTCCCTCCCTGACTGTAGCTCTGGCAACATGGATTCAGTTGCAGCAGATTCTTTTTTTTTATTTTGACAAAGACAAAGTGAAAAGTCAAGCACCTGCAAATGCAGCAGGGATGTAGTCCTTGACCTCGATGTACACAAAGAGAGCAGGCAAAGTGAGTGGCATGTTGCTCTCAGTGCGCAGGCAGATGTGATGAAAGCCTGTGAAACAAACCCATGTGAATTAAAAAGAAGGCAGCGGTAAATCAAGTTAGCAAACGCTCTGAGGCCTTGGATGACTCAGTGATGTTTTAAATTATGTAGATCGGATGAAGTGAAGGGTTTTTTCTCGCTTCCACTGACCTGACTGGATGGAATCAACAGGGATGATTCTGTGTCCCACAAATTTGCCATTCTCCTCATTGACTACCATCCTTAGAGAAGCCATTTCTGGGAGAAGGATCTAGTCATGACAACAAATATATTCCGATCAATCTCAGCAGCACATCAGGTTGTACACGCAAACACATTCACCCTCATATGTATTTGTGCATATATGAATGTGTAGTGCATTAACCTTCTCAAAAACAAAAGGCTCCTCATTCCACACAGGGTTAATGGCATTGGCTGTAGTCGACCACTTGGTGCGATATTTCTTCTTGGGCTCTCCTGGCAGCCCGATCACCTCCACCTCCACCCCTGTTTTCACATTCTTGTCAGACAGGAACTGGCCCGAATAGATCTAATGCAATGAACAAGATTTGATGACATACAAAGGGTCCAGTTGTGTGGATGCAGGGCACAGTGGTTATAAACAAAGCTCAGTTTTTGTTTTGGTTTTTGAGTTTGCTGAATACCAGTTGCAGCAGGAAGCTTGAATATTACAAACTCTGCTTGCAAACTAAAGGGAAAACTGAGCCAACATGGCTGCACACAAACAAACAGACCTCCCAAGGGTATTGCTGCTAATTTATTGCTCAGTTTAGAAAAGCAACAGCAGATGTAACCTTTATATATATTGTATTGTTTATTCGTCAGTTTCTCTACAATATAATAAATTAGCTTTAATGTATGAAAAAAGTAAGATGCAGCTCATTATTTTCACTCTTTTAAAACGGTTCTTTAGTTTGTAGTAGGAGGATCCCTGTGCTGCACACACAGCAAGAATAAAAGAACAAAGTGGGAGAACCATGATAATATCAAGGCTGTGAACCTCTGTGAACCTGCCTTAATGGTCAGTGTGCTTGCCACAACAGTGTCAATCCTGTCACAGAAAGGGTCAAACTTCTTATCACTGCGACGCAGAATGTCATGCTTAAGTAGGTAGCCTGTTCTGCCATTGAATTCAAACAGAGCCATGTTCAGCTGCATGGGGAAATCTGAAATAAACACACACACACACACAGCCCATTCATGCCCCCTCTCTTCAGCACAAGGAGGAGCAGTGAGGATTTGGGATGCAAAGGCAAAGCAGCTGTGCTACTTGTGCAACTCAAAGAAGTGCAACACTGACCCACTGTGGTGAACAAAAGAAGCTGTTAAAATAAAAAAATTTACATGTCAGACTCAAACCGATTAAATGAGACAAGACAATAGCTCCAGCTTTTCATGTAGTGCAACACATTTATGTCATTTTAAGTGGTTATCACTGTTGAGTGTCCATTTCTACCCATCGTCTGATAGTTGAGTGCCACCATCTGGCAGCCTACGTTCCAAAAAGGCTGAGGGTTGTAATTAGATGAGTCCATTCTTGTTCCTTTGGGGTATATCCTGCTCATCTGCCTCTTATTGTATCTAAAAAGACAGTTTAGGAAGTACAGTTGTATAGCTCTGTATTAAATGTGGGCCAGGGTTATGGCAACACAAACAACATATTTTGGTCTAATTTAGTGGCACTTTTAATCATGTTCAGTGCATTTGAACACATTTATCTATTTTTGGGAGCATGACAGCATCCACATCACTCTCACAGGATACTCGACAAATTCAACAGCAGCCTTGGCGATCATTGCCTCCCCTTTGGTCTCCACAAAAGATGAGATGACATAGCTCTTGTTTTTCTCTAAGAAAGAGAGTGAAATGAGGAAGAATTACATAACTCACACTGAGTTTGATTTGTTTACCTGTACTTTGGTAAAGTAAAAACTCTTGTGTAAATTGTGAAGCAGAGACATACTTTTGGCATTGTCAAAAGAGATGAATTTATTGGGCTGGATGTAGTTGACCAGCGATGACATGGCCTCATATGCTATTACTTCTTGTCCAGCTGTGCCCTGTGTGGGAAGTCAAGTGATATCTGAAGTGCCATACATGAACATAAATGATAAAACTGTTATCACAATCATCGTCATCTACCTCATCTGATGTTTTCATTTTCTCCTCATCCTGTTCCTCTGTCTCCTCCTGCTCCTCATTGTCTTCCACAGCAGGATCCCCTTCTGGTTCATCATATAAACATAATCTCAGTAAAAATAACTAAACAGTTTCCTTTTCGTAATTTAATTTGATTTGGCTTGATGTGTAGCTAGCCCACCTTGGTTATCCTGGGTGCCGGGTGCTGGGTTTGCAGGATCCTGGGAAGCACTGTTTGGGTCTTTGGTGGCTGCAGCTGTACTTGTGGCCTGGTCACTGGCTGCTGTGGTGGGTTTTTTAGCCTGGGGTGGCTTTGCTTCGCTGCCCTTCTTGTTCTTGATGAGGATCTTGCCCATGAGCTCAGATGGGCTGGGGATCTGCTGGCCTGGCTTCAGCTAGATATTACAAATGAACAAAATAAGAAGAAAATTTGGGGAGGCATTTACTTTCTATTACATCCAAATTAGCAGAATTGTTTTTAGGGTATTTTTGATGATTTTTTTGGTTTCATTTATGTTTCTGGAGACAGTTTTTACAAAATTGTTGCCCACCATAAAGTCTTATTGACAAAAATATATATATATTCTGCAGTTTCTTCTTATCCTCACTGTCTCAAAAAGCATGAGTAAAAGAAAAGAGATTTGCTGCTTCTCTTCAAAGCTGTAATCCTTAAAGAACCATTTTAAAGCAACTTTTACTTCAAATGTCTACAGCCTTGTTGATGGCTTTGCTAGGCTGTTAAGACACAGTGGTGTTTTGAGCTAAATGCTAACGGCGCTTTGAGTGTGCTGTAAAAGCATTTTTACAGTGGTGTTTTGAGCTAAATGCTAACGTCAGCATGCTAATATGCACACAGTGGCAAATAAAAACACATGTACAGGTATGATACATCCTGTACAACATGCACATACAGCAGAGGGGACGTGACCTAACCGGAGGATTAGCGGTTCGATTCCTGGCTTGTCCAGTCAACATGTCGAGGTGTCCTTGAGCAAGACACTGAACCCCCAGTTGCTCCCGGTGATGTCACCGGTGTGTGAGTGCTTGGGAATGCGAATGGGTGAATGGCCCAATAATGTGAAAGCACTTTGAGTGTGGTGTAAAAGCATTTTTAAGGCGCTATACAAGTATAAGACCATTTTGATTTTAGGCAGGTTGTTTTTACCATGTTCACCATTTTAGTATACTGTTAACATACATTTACTCATTACACTAAATAAAAATAGAACTGTGGCTGATGTGAATGTCATTAGTGTTGCAGGTATTTGGTCATAAAGTGAAAATTTGACAATTGTGCTTTTGCTTTGTCAGGAATAAAAACACATGTACAGGTATGATACATCCTGTACAACATGCACATACAGCAGAGGGGACGTGAACAGACATTAGCTGTTAACATCGATCTGCACTGCTTGGGTGGGCATGGGAGCCAATGAGCATCATGTCTTACAAAGATACAAACATAAAACTTGACCTTTGTCATTTATTATCTTCATGCTAATGCAATTAGCTTGCAGAACCCAGATGAAGTTGTGGTATATCCAGGCAAAGTGTTCTGTTTATATATCCTTGATCTAATCTTAAACCTCAGTTATTTTGACAGCGAACTATGTTGCAGCAGTGTACTCACAGGATACTTGTCCAGTGGGTCTGTTAGCAGGGCATCGCCAAATATAGTTTTGCAGTAGTTGGCCATTTTCTCCTGTTGTTTCACCCTGTACAAAACAGAGTAACACATGTTACTATATGCTGCTACTTCCAGGATGAAAGAATCAGTTATATCCTCAGTATGTTCTATCAATATTCCACAGGAAATAATGGCATCAGAACATTAATACAGTGTGTTAATTGCATTATATGAGTTAAGATCTTACGAGTCAACGTGGTTCTCAAATGACAGGATAACAGGGTACTGTGAGGTCTTGAAGGCACTCTCAGCTATGGCTTCAATTACATCCTGTCACACATCAAAAAGATGGATGTTTTTCATCATTGCATTTAGCTAAACCTTTATTTGAATGGGATGTTACAACTAGCAAGAGAGCAAAAAACAATATCATGAAAATCACAACAGAGTGAAACTAACAGACTATGCCTTCGTGTCAAAACATGAAAAGAGACATTGTGACAAACTGCACAACTATGGTCTCTGCTGGAGGCCCTGCTCCGAGCCTATCAGGTCCAACGACTGACAGTAAACTGGACTGAGGTGTTTGTGGCTGGGTCTCTGGGACTGTGGTGGCCTGGCTGCCCTTAAAAGGAAGTGCGAGAGGATGACAGGGGTGCTTGTTTGCCTGTGTGCATGTGTGTGTGTATCACTATGCACTCTCAAACCTTAACACTGTTTTGCACTGTAATGTGCATATGAGCGTGAATAAAAGGTCATTTTAAAATTTCTAGGTTTATTGTGATACCCATGATATACTGTGACTCTCTACAGTCTGTGTGAACAGAGTGTGTGTTGAAACCACACAAAAAAAATGTGCTCTCAGGAAATTAGAGGTTGGCCATTTACTCGGAAAGGCCAAAAATAGATAACAGACAACAGCAAGGAAATTCACTGGAAGTGGGTAGGACTTAAGCAGAAGTTGTTATAAACTGTCTACTCTGCTTCTTAAGTAAGGCTAAATAAAAGCTGTGTCACTATTAATGGCACAGACAGTGACTAGTTAATAGTGAAATAGAACACTATTCACTCACTATCAGGAAATTCAATTCAGAGTTAAAATCATATGCTACAAATGTTATTGTATTGTTAGGTATTTTTAGTCAGATAGAAATTAATAATAATAATAATAATAATAATAATTTATAAAGCACCTACCAGCTCAAAGAGCACTAGGTGCTACATCAAAAAAATTAAAACCAAAATCATCAAAATATCAATATCAGAATAAAAATCAACTAAGTAGACATATGACAGGCATATACATTCATCGATCTATAGCATAATTCCTGTCCGGGCTGACACCCCTCAGAAAAGCTAGAATAAAGCTACAATAAAATAGAAAGCCAAGAGGAGTCTGGAGAGATTAAGCATAAAAAGCTTGTTTAAAAAAATATGTTTTCAGTGCCGATTTAAACGGGACTAGTTCAGTTATAGAGCGTAAATCTAATGGCAGAGCGTTCCACAATACCGGGCCGTACACGGCAAAGGCCCGACCTCCCCATTTTTTATAACGGGAAGAAGGCACCACAAGGGTGAGGTGGGCGGACGACCGTAATGATCTCCGAGGAAGATATCTGGATAGAAGATCTGATAGATATGCAGGGGCAAGGCCATGCAAGGCTTTAAAAACATATAGAATGGTAATGGTAAATGGACTGTATTTTATATAGCGCTTTCTCACAGTGTGTTGCACTGGCCAAAGCGCTTTACAGAGATGATAGCACAATCTTAAATTGCACTCTCCATTTCATAGGTAGCCAGTGAAGGGACTTTCAGAGCCGTGGCAGATCACGAGCACGTGGTCGAGGATCCAGGGGTTACAGGAGAAATTTTGTGAGAGATGACAGATGTCTTATTTGTCACAAAAGAGGACACTAGGCACGTAACTGCCCAGTGCCTTATCAGCAGGCACAAGGACTAGCCCAACCGCGGGGATATAATGTATAGGCCTGGTGGGTTCAGGGTCTTTCATCTTACATCTGCCTGTGTGCAGTTTGGAGGTGCAAGATACCTGAGCGTGTAATGTTAATTTTACCTGTGATCCTTTGAATAAATCAGCACTGTTTTGTAGTTACTTGGACTGTCTCGTCTCTCAGAGTCAGTATGGTAAAAAGTACCGGGTACAACAGTATCTTAAGGAATACCTCAAATTAAATTTAGAATTTAAGAATTAAGTGTAAATGGCAGTGGAGCACAACATTACCCACAAATGGAAACAGTATAGATGATTTACCTTACAACAACTCAGGGTTAGTTCAGATAGGAAATGAATAGTGGAAATAGAAAATACAAGTCAGAATTGCAGTGGATCATATTGTTATTTATTATATAGACTAGATTAATAATGTCACTTTAAACTGTCTATGACAAAAACTGAGAAAGGTATTGACAAAAAAAAAGAAAGAAAAGAAATAACTGCCCATGATAGCTTGATGGGTCACAGTTCATCTTTTTTAAAGGAAATTATACCCGCAATGAAAGGTGTATGAGAAGTGCCAATAAAAAGAAGAGAATGCTATTGAGGGCGTTTTCACACCTGAAAGTCTAAACCAAGGCACATGTTTTTGTCTAATTGTATGCATTTGATCTGGTCAGCTTTTGTTTCACATTGCAATTTTGTTGAGCACACTAAAAAACTTTGTATGACTTAGCTATTTCCTGTAATCATCGCCTACATGGGCTGCGACTCCCTATACTTGACACTGATTGGTTTGTAGATGGGCGTGCATCTGATGATGGTGTGTTCTCGGCGGGTAGCTTTTTCATTAAAAAAAAAGAAAATGAACAAATAGATTATTTTCATTGCCATTATAATGCACCAACTTCAGGCACAGTACTCTAGATTAACTCGACTTCACCATGTGAATGTTTTCACAGTCCAAAAAGTAGGACATGGCCATCTGATAAGGAGGCAAAGACTATTAGGCAGTGAAACAAAAATCTGAAACCTAGTGTATGACACCCCAGAAGGAGTCACCATAACTCTGTGTAATCACCTTGAAGAGGATCTCCGTTGTCATAGTGAAGCCGTGTGTGATGATCGGCTCTTCATCTGGAGGCTTGCCCTTCCAGCAGTCCAGCTCCAGACACCGACAGCCGGACAGCAGGCACTGACGGTACATCTCCGGAGAGGACACACCAGAGAATTGACCGGCTGCAGGGTGACAGAAGGAAAGTCTCAGAAAATTCTCCAGATATGCCCCAAAATGATCTTCAAAGTTACCATGGACTTGGAATTATAGCATTTGTGTCAGTATCTAATGGGGATCAGGCACAATAATTTATAAACTGAAATCAAACTGGTTTATGTGACCTGTCAGGTATGTGTTGTGGGACGATTTGATGAAATAATGGGGTACGGGCTGGGTCATGTCCTGACTCTTAGCTAGCCTGTCCTGCATCACAACAGATGTCTCAGGCCCCATCAAGAAAAATAAAAGACCTTCTGGAGAAATCAGACCTGCAGATGAACAAGAGGGACACACTGAAGCATTTGAAACAAAAGACTGTTTGATACATTTCCAGTCATCCATGTAACAAAGCTATCGTCTATGAATCTCACCTCTGTTAGAATTAGATGAGATGGGTTCATATTTGTCAATCAGGGCCTTGATCTGATCCTGCCGCAGACGCGGAAACAGCTCCTCATTGAGCCGAGAGTCCCTCTGTTTCTCGTTGAGGAACTTTGTGAAGTTCTCCTTTGTCATGGTTGGTTTAGTGGAGCTAGAGGGCACATTGAGCCGTGACAGTCGCATTAGTGCTGCATGTAATGTTGCTCACACCCATCACAGCACACTCCCTGTCGCCTGACCTCATGCCAGACAGCTAATGCATGGGTAGGAACTTCTGACTAGCCACTTATGAAGTCGACATAATGTAATATAAACCAGGTGTCTGGTTCTGCGTGTCCAATTTGTGCTACGTAAAGGAGCATGTTTCTGTTTTAATAACAATTTGACATAAAATTGCCTAGATCATTTTGAATATGTCTACTTTAAAAAATCCAATGATAAATCAAAGACTATTCAGCCATATCAGTACAGTATGAGTGAAGAATAGAAGAGGCTGACTCACTAAGAAGTGAAGATCTCATAGATCTCAGGCCGCGGGCAGAGATGTGTCAGAAACGTCTTGAAGGCAGACTCGGTGAACACATCAGGCTTCATGCTGTCATACTGTAAACACATGATATCCACATCAGAGCATTATTATAAACATGATGAAAAACTAGTTCCAAAAATATTAGCACAGACATTTGGTTTATGCAGTTGGAGGGCTGTAATAAAATAAAATTAAAGTATAATAACATATTTATACAGAGAAGGTCTAAGGATCTTATTTAGTTCCTGAGATTCCAGGTCAAAGATCACAGCAAACCTCAGGTCATTTAAGGAGGAGGTGATTGGAATAAAGCAAAAACTGGACAAACAGTTTAGTTTCTAACCTTTCCTTTAGGGAGGTGTGCTGATGCTAAGGCACTTTCCACCCTCTTCTTATCTGCAGGGAACATCTTGTAAATACTGAGAGACACAGAGTGAAACACTGAGTAGGAAATATGGAAATCTACTGTACAAACTAACCACTGTGCACCATCCTCCACCTTCAGGAGGTGCTACTGTAACCTACTTCTTCACTGGGATCTTGCCGTCTTTGTTGGTCTGAAGAAAAATGCGGACATATCTAAGATTGAAAACACATGGGATGCGATAACTTGACATGATGAAATGAAATAGCATTGGGTTCAATCAGCATCTACAACTCAAGTGTCAGACTACATGACGTTAACTCACATTTTGTCCAGGAAGACTTGTCTGCATGCATTGTTTCTTGCAGCATTGTAGGCAATTTCAAGAATGTCATTTGCCCAGTTCTGATGTGTGTTTAATTACAAAAACAAACAGTAATATTATCCACAGAGTCAACATAAATTGTGCTTGATGCTGTATGTCATTAGCTATAAAATCATTATATAGGCTTTTAAATCCACACAAACTCTCCACTAGAGGGCATTAACATAATAGTACCTCAGGAAATGAGAGTTGTGCATACTGCGTTTGAACAAAGCATAACTGTGATTTCATTACATTTAATTAAATCTGGATACTGGAGTCATAAAGTCTAATAAAGACTAAAAGGGAGAGAGAGGGTGCCTTACTGGGAGCGAAGCAAAGTCATTCATTAATGGATAATGGCTTGTGGCAGTGTTTGAACAATCAGTGGGGATCAGTGACAGACGGAGAGGATTGTAAACAGCTAAAGGAAGGACACAGTGCTAACAACACAGAGACTCAGTATATACAGCGGTTTTTTACCTGTGCCACCTTGTCTTTAGAGGCAAAGAAGTTATGATAGGTCAGATTCACCGTGTCTAGACCCGAGACGATGGTTAGAGTTTTGGCGAGATGGTTGCTGTCTGGGAAATCAAGGTTGAACACGTTACGGACCTTAGGGTGCTGTTAAAAGAAAGAAAGATTTTTACTCTTTGATTTTCTGTCGAGGAACTCTTCAATACAGATTTTAAATCTGAATTATCATCCTTAAAAATGAAGCCCTTGTTCTCTGTACAGACTGGATACCTGGGAGCTTGTTGAACACAAGCAAATGTGCCGACAAGGACATGCAAACATATGCACAAACACACTGAGACTCATACACTCACAACACGCAATTCTGTGTACACGCAAACACAGAAAGTTCATTTACAGGAACAGTGAGCAATGTTTTAAGTACTACCGTCCTGTACATGCTATCCTTCAGTCACTTCTATGCTACTTTCAAAAGTCCAGAGCTGACCTCAGCAGTGGAACTGTTTTCCCAAAACTCCTCAGGGACCTGAGAGGAAGATACACCTCCAGCAGCACCCCAGCTGGGATGGTGCACTGCTCTGTGTTCTCCTCTAATAGAAACATATTTCAGATTTCCTGTGAGGGATGATAATACTCATACTGCAACTCTCTGTGGAGGCCAGAGAGGAGCGGAAAAGGACTGAAAATACTACTGTCATCTTTGGACTCAAAAAACCAAAACAAGCTTATTCACTGAGATCATGACTCAGTGTGCACTACAGTGTGTGTTTATGTTTGTGTGCACCTGTGTGTTTCTGTAGTGGGGGATTAGCCAGGGTGCTTTTCTCCATCACCACTTTTTGCAATGCAAATAGGCCTTTCATACTAATGGGCAAATTAAGGGCTTGATGTTGTATTTGCATGCCTGCAGAGATTCATACACAAAAAATTCACTAGTTTGACATAAATGTCAAATCAGAGAGCAGGTTACTGCAGTAAATAATAATGTACTCACTTTGGGAAGTTTAGCATATTTTCCTGTTCTGGTATCTCTGATAGTAGCAACATCCAGAAATGTTGTCTCCTGGAAACAAGAAACAGAGAATCATCTCCAGTAGTGAATTCAACATGTAGGTACCAGTCCAAACATGGACTGAGATACAAGTCATCCTCTGGCAAAGTGCAGAAACTGGGGGTTTACTTTGTTTGTGTTTAGAATATTCAACTGAATTGTCATGAAGCATCATGTTACGAAATGCTGGGCTACTTTTTCATTTAAAATGCACATGAACACTTTGTAATTAACAACACTGTGCCAACAGTGATAGAGCCAAGACACGTGAGGAACACATCTGATGTAGGCTTCATGGGTTTTGTGATGTGGTGAAAACCAGATGAGACAAAGAGAAAAAGAGAGAGAGATGGAGCAGGAAAGACATATAGTGCTCTCCGAGTACATCACAGTTCAGCTGCATAGTGCAGCAGAATGGTGAGCCCACATCAGCACTGATCAATAATCACTAGTACAAGCTGCTGGGACAGGAAACGCAATGCAGCTCTGAGTTCTCGGCTTTGGCAGATCCTACTCATGCATATCACACACACTGTGGATGTGAATCCCTGAAACCTGGCCGTGCATACTTCATAGGTTTTAATCTGTCAGGTCAGGTTTGTCTCATGCACAAAAAGCCAGTTCATCTTTGTTTTGCACTAAATGGGAATCAACACTGCCCCACACCCATGACTGCGCATACTTCATGACCCATGACATACAACATTGTTTCCAGACTCTACCTTGCTTTGGTTAATCCAGTACACATAAAAACCTTTGGGATCCATCTTTATGGTGACAGGAGCAGTCTTAGTGGAGTCCTGGATGAAAACATCGGAATTAGCTTTCACACATTTTGGACATTTAATGAGTTTAAACCAATGAAAAAAGGCTGTGTGATAGTGATGTGCTGGTGTTAAATTAGATCATTTAAATTGGAAGAGTATCTGTATTTTACAGAAGAGGTAATTAATTCAGTATCACCAATTAAACCATCAAAAACAACACTATTATGTCATTTGAGTTTGGATCGCTTTATACGCTATAAGGACACAAGTTAACCAGAGTTGCCCACATATATGTACATAGGTGCATTTTAGATGATATGTAACAATTCAGCTGATTCTCTGGAAACATTCACTCACCTCTGTCCACTTGGTAAATCTTTCTCCTTTTACCAGGTAGTCTTTGACCACTGGAGGATCCAGAAAGTATCTTTTCTTATTCATTTTGGGATTCTAAAGTGACCTCCACTCCAGTTTATTGCAGAAACTGAACAATTTCCACTGTCTTGATGTCCATCATGTTCATAACCACTGACAAGCTTATCCCTCCATCTGCTCTAAAGTGGAGTTAAATGCATAGCCTGTGGCTGTACTCAGGACGCACCCCAAGAAATATGCATTGCAAATTAAGATGGAAGCAAAACATGTAACACAGGTAATGATGAATGTGTTGTTGTCAAACTGCCTATGGAGTCATGGTGTAGACTGGTATATATAGTAAATAAGGCAGTTCATTCAGATTAGATAAAGAAATCGTGTTTTCTCCCTCACTCCATAATTAGCCATGTCATAGCTTTTATTTTAGTTGCCCAGGTTCTCTGGTATTCCTGATGCTGCAGCAAAACAGTGGAGGCACTGAACTGAAAAAGTATTAATAAAACATTTAAAAGCAGCATGTGTTTCCAAAAAGAGCATCTCCATTAATCCACAAACATTATTTTAAACCTTTGTTTCATCTAATTGAAACTACTGAAAAAACGCTCCACATAAAAAGTGTTTTTATTGTCTAAAGTAATAGAGACTGTTTCTGAAAAGAGATGTTGCTGTTGGCCATTTTTTTTAGACTTTTCTTTCCATTTCTTTCCACCAGAAATAAAAAATTCATGGGCAAAGTCAGATATCTCAAACATGGATTTCTCAAAATGTGGGTAAATACAACCAACAGCGTTTGAATGGCTGAACACCATCGAAGGCAGGTGAGAAAATGTTTTTCTTGCTGTTTGGGTGACTAAGTGATTTTCACAACTGCTTTTCACACACACAGTTGTTTTGAGTTGTCATTCAGCATATCGGTTGTAGGTTTGTAGCTGCAAAATAAAATACTGAAAGAATTACACATGGAATAAAAGAAACTGGATGCAATCTGTTCTGTGCAAGAATTAGTGTCAGTGCTGATTAATTTGATTGTTTGCTTGTTCAGTGTAAATGAATGGCTGCATGCAGCTCTATACTGTACAGCCCCACATCAGAACAAGTTGGGATGTATGTAAAATCAAAATAGTGATGTGAAAATCATCTGTGTCCTGTATTACATTGAAAACAATACAGCAGCACAGTATTTGATGTGATACCTCATCAACGTTATGCTCAAAATAAGCACTCATTTCAGTTCTGATGCCTGCAACACATTCCAAAAAAGATGGGATGGTTGCATTTCAGGGCTATTAATGAGGTAAAACAATGAAATGATGACTTCATGTTAAACCGGTGATGTCAACAGCTGACTGGAATCATGGAATTGGATTCTGATTCTGATGATTTGGTACAAACATGGCATCCAGGACAGGGGTTGTACATATGTCATATAGCCTTCATTAATAGTAAGTGGCTAGTTTGCCCCATCGGCTTTTTATCAGATGATGCTGTAACTGTCTGTTCAGGGTCATAAAGGAGTGTCATTTATGACCAAAGGCAGGATTCCTGGTCATTTGGATATCAAATAAACCTTCAGACTGTGCAACACCTGATGCAACCCTTCACCCAATCAGGGACCAGGGACATCTGGTAAACCACTGCAGGAACAGCTTATTTAGCATGCTGATGTTTTATTATTAAACTATGTTTTATGAAAACAATGCAGATTACACTGTCATACAGGCATGATGGAAGACCCATGCTACACTGTCTTCTTCCATCTCCACAGTCATACATGTAGCAGCTGATTTTACTTTCAACCACCAAATTTTGTCCACGTTTTAAGTGATAATCAAGTATCTAGTAAATGTTTAGATTACTGAATTTAGATTCAAATGCATACTTAACTTACACATAGTGTTCGGGCTACTATGTAGAACCACGCCCGTGTACTCTAGACATTAGGTGTGCATTAAGGAATGCGATAGATAGATAGATGGATAGATAGATGGATAGATGGATGGATGGATGGATGGATAGATAGATAGATAGATAGATAGATGGATGGATGGATGGATGGATGGATGGATAGATAGATAGATAGATAGTATCACTAACTGGAGGTCATATCTTGACCACTTCCTAATCTGACTCATCACTGGTCAAACGTTGTTCCCCTTCGATGACTTGCGCAATGACAAATCCCTGCGCTGTGCGCTGCGCTGAAAGGACGCTCTGGACCAGCCAACAGGTAGGATGTGGTCAAAGCCCTTTTACAAAATGTACCAAATGTCTCATATGGATGCAGTTGACTGCGGTTAAGTGGATTGGATAGCATTACATAATTCGTAAATTCCCGTCAGTGTTTAAATGACTTCTTTACAACCATCCTTTACTCCTGGGTGAGCACAGGTTAAACACTTCCCGGCATCACTTTGAACGAGTAGGCCGACTCATCGCCGCAGTATCATCCTGCTCTCCATGTGCCGCACACGCGTCCTGATGTGAAGCTGATGTGCGACGGTTTTTGTGGCCTGTTCTCGGGCTGCTGCACAGCTGCTGCTTCTTTAAGAGCCACCGCCCGCCCCTTCTCCTGTATTTTTAGCTGAGCCAGCCACTTCATTTGCTGGATAAGACAGACAGTTGTGTACCTTATGATCTCATTTAATCATTTTAATAAATGTCATCAAATGTTATTCTGCGGTTTCGCCGTGAGCCTACAGCCAGCTGTTACCCTGGAAATGTCGTATATGGTAGACATTTGTCCCGCCGCTCTCGGATGCTGAAACGCGCAATCTGCCTGTGGATGCTTGATGTCCATTATGAAACGCAATGCTGCACTGGGTACCGAATATTAGGCGCAGTGCTTTCAAGACCCAAATGAATTACAAGAAATCAATTTAGCTGCAACATACTCATACGGTGCGGACGATTCAAGGTGGTCCAGGATCTTTGTCCTCAGCCCTCTCTTCTCTTGGACTGTGGATAACAAGAAGCCTTCAAGACGGAGGGGGTGGTGGAGCATCGAGGAAAAAATAGGGGCAATATGAGAGAGCGGGACTTCATGCCCAATATGGAGAGGGGCAAACCTGCTACTTATACGGGGGACAAAAAGGCTAAGATGGCTGCTAAGACGAACAAGAAGTGGGTGAGACTAGCCACTGTTTTTGCATATGTATTGTCCGTGTCCTTAGCAGCCATTATCCTGGCAATTTACTACAGCCTGATCTGGAAACCAACATCCTCATCTGTGGGGAAGCCCGGGGGGGTCACCCCCACTCCAAACATCTCAGTTACTAATGTTTCCACAAGCAGCAATGTCTCGGAGTGGAACTCTACACAGGCAGGAATCAACCGGACCTGGGGCACAACCCTGCGCAGAGTTGGAGCAGAAAGTGCGCCCTCACATCAGGAGGAAGAACTCTACGCAACTTCCTACGTTCACACAAGAGAGGAGAGATCGGCTGCTTTGAGTAGAGAGAAACACGCGCCTCATCCCCAGGTGAGCCGCTACGTCCTGTCAAGCCCCAGCGAGTCTCAGGCTGCCCCTGACCAGGACGAGGAGACGCACAGGGGCGACGGGGCGAGTGACAAACGCGACTCCGAGCAGGCTGTTCCTCCGACCTCCGCGACGAGCCGAACTGGCCTGAGAGGAGGCTGATCGGGCAGCATTCCCACCACCACACCCCCCTCACACACAACCGGACCCAACAAGGAGTGTTTTACAGACTCGGTGCCGCAGGTCGGATAACACAGGTCTTCTTTGAACTCATTTTGCAGAGCCACTAATGGATGCTGAGCTACACCTATTAACTAATATCTTGCTCTTACGACTGAGAGAAAAAGGAGTCGTTGCTTCTTAGGTGAACACTGTTTACCCTTCAACACTATGCGTTTTTTGTTTTAGGCCATGTGTATGCCTTAAATCAGTGTGTGTCTACTTTATCTCGGTCAGCTTCTGGGGCCACGAACCCGCATATACGTGTGGACGATATAGATATTTAGTTGAAATTATTAGGACACAGGCTCCAGAGATGCTTTTGGTTTTGCAGGGCATAAAAATTTCTCGCAGCGTTTAACATCACTGCCATTCATCAGCCGGTCTAAATCAATAGCATTGTTGCATAACATAGGCTGTACTTTTCTTTTCATGGACCAAACCTGGATTCAGAGTAGAAGAGCCTGCATTGTTGAGTTCTGCTCAGGTATGTGCATATAACCATGTAAATGTGTTGTGTATTCAGTTCTGTACATATAGGGCACACATACATCTTTTTGGCCTCATGAACTTTTAGTGTAACTAGATCATTTTTATTAAAGGTACAGTATGTATAATAGGTATGACTATATCACAAGGTACAGTTAAACACACTTAGAAAATTATTCATTTCTATGGTTTTATAATAGGTCTATGGAAATCACAAATTAATCACTGACATTATACTGTATGTTCATTGTATTTTATTTATTCAGAGCCAGAATGGATAATATATATTCAAATAAATGTTAGGTTTTTTCTTAAGAGTTTATATTTTGTTTCAAGTCACGGATTTAAATAACATTAAGAGTGTAACAACAGCCCACTTTTACTGATTGATATGGGGAGGCAGGTTCAACAGAAATATAATAACCATGCAAGAGCGCTTAGTTTATGATCAGTAGAAGCTCATCTGGGCATTTGATCAAATTTTAGTGGTGGTCCTTTAATTGCCTGAGAGTGCGTTTAGAGGAACTCGCTCTTCCTATAGAAAGAAAAGCCTTCATTGCCCAGTCTGCCACAGTTCACCTCCTGCAGCTCTCACTGAAACCACTTCACACAGTCAAATGTGGTGAACTATGAAGTGGAAATAAGACCGACCACCCCATGCACTCTCTCAGCAGCATGTGAGGGAGGTGTATTGATTTGAGAACTCTGTTGTTGCACTGTACAAAACAGAGAAGAACATGTTACGCAATGCCGCCAGGTGCTATTTTGATCCAGCTTTCTCTGAAAAGGACTGTTTGGCTGAAAGGTTTGGTTTCTGTGCTGGCAGTGACAAGCATCATTCACCATCACACTGGAAAGTAGATTTCCACTGAGCAGCCAGAGGCCTCGGCGGCATTGCACCGTGATGTAAACGGTGGTGACATTCACTGTTGTGTTAGTATGACAGATTTACAGAACCAAAGCCAAGGTATGTGTCTGGAGAGCTAAACAGGAAGTCTATTCATTAGGGAAGACAGCACAAGACACACGCACACCCACTGTCACAACACAAACCATGTATACTAGAAAAATGTAATGCAGAGTGTGTGCATAACACAGTGACACACCTGTGGCTCCTGGCAGCTGTGTCCTCAGTGCCTCATGGCTTTCTGTGATATATGAGAGGTGTGATGACCAACCTCTTGATGAAGATCAGTGCTGACAGTTATTACTGGAAGCAACATCTGAGTCAGGGCACAGCACTGGACCTGATTACGTCTCCTGATGTGAAATCAGTCATAGCTTACATTAAAGTTCCGCTTGGGATTAATTTGTTTTGTAACTTCAGGCAAACAATAAATCATATTGTGTCTTTAATTAAAAAAACAACTTTACATTACAATACATTCATTTATCAAATCATCAAAAAACATAAAAGCCATTTGCCATTGCTGCTTATTCTGGACTTTTCCTATTATAATTGTTTTTAAATGTTGGCAATTGCAGCGGTGCTGGTCAGTTAATGTCATATTAATCAAGCTAAATCAAAAGAGTTGAAACATTCCCCACAAAGCCACAGTGAAATGATCATATCATAAATCATAAAGGAAGATTTGCTAAGATTTATACTGCTAATAGTGTAAATTAGAAGGGAAGATCCTCCCCAGACACATTTTAAGACAACATTGATGTGTAATATGGATTTTCTACAGAAAAAGAAACTGAAAATTCTTAAAAATGACAGCTGACACTGGACAGAGAACATGCAAACTCCAAACAGAAAGGCATGGGTCCAAGTGATGTAACAATAAGCAAAACCATTTTTTGAGTGGAGGGAAACTTTAAAGTTCTGCTTTCCAGAAGAATTTTCCTCATCAGACTGGACAGGCAAGGCTTTTCCAACAAAGCTGAGGAAATAAAGGCCTGTCAATATAGCACCAGTTGAACAAGACACCATCGTACAAGTTATGAAATATTAACATGAGGCCTTTGCAGTAGTGGGGAAGAATATGAGGGCGGGGAACAATAACTTTTTCAAATAATTAAAGGGCAAACATGGTGTTATATAAATCAAAATTGAAACTGTGTGTATATGTAGATGCTGTGTTGTTATATTTTAGGCAGTTTAATGTCATCTCAAGGCTTGTAAAATACATGGTACTAATTTTCCAATCATTGCTAGATAGCAGAAGTGAAACACAGTGACACAGTTTCAGGCGACTACATGAGTACATGACTTTAAGGCTATCAGAGTGGTAGGACATTATTTCTGGCCCTTTTTTTAGCATCAGTAAAAGTGAGCTTTAAGCGGTAACATCAGGTAACTAGCTAGCAACATTTACAATTGTTACCTATAATAATATGTTAAATGTAATAATAATCACATTTAACACATTTTAAGATGCAGGAGTAAAGACTAAATCACAAGATTAATGTCAAACTAATGATCCTACAGTCACACACATAACTTTGTTTATACTGCCAGGCATTTGATTAGCTTTATTAGATGATGCTGACAAAAGAGACTGACTCCCAGTCAATATGGCAAGCAGTACATAGACATCTTGGAGAGAAAGAGAGAGTGGGGTGTGGGGGAAACCACACACTCTCCCTGATCAGGGCAGCTGCTGACATGTGGTCGTCTCATCCTGAACCATGACAGGGCTCACTGGGGATTGACACCCTGTCTGGGAGAGATTCTACCAGGATCGCAAGACCAGGACAGACCTCGCTTCCACTTAACTTACATTCATCAGTGATAATGAAACACCTTGACAACCTCCATCTGTTACTTCACTGTGTTTAAACCAAGGTTGATAAAAGGCATCACAAACCCATGATTCAGATTTTAACTTAAAGTCATGGTTTTGGGGAAGAAATGTTGTCACATGAATGTAATGTAAAGATAATGATAAGATAACTCCAGTGGTGCTGGTAGAGGAGCACTGCTACCTTTGGACAGCACCATCCTAGCTGTTTACAGGCTTTATGCTAAAATAACTGGTTACAGGCTGTAGATTCAAATTTACCCAGCAGGTGTGAGAATGGTTTTCACCTTTTCATCTAACTCTTATTACATGTTTTGGGAATGTTTTTACCAAAATCTCAAACTATTCTTTTATACTAATGTTTTCCACAGCAGACTGGTGTCATGGCTCATGGCTCATTTATGACCCAAATCATTTTCCAGTCAAATTTTGACAAGCCACAGTCCCTCTGTTGCCACACAAAAACAGGATCCGGAGTGATCCTCAATGACAAGGCCTCAGCAGCATAGTGGTTAAAGGCTGCTTTGGTCAAAAGTTGAGTTTGATTTTTCTGAAGGAGGCCAAGCTTCTGAAGTTTCTCTTTACAGTGGAGCTGGCATAACCCTAAACTGCACTTCAATCCCCTAACAGCCTACAGGCCTTTTGTCCATAATATCAACACCTCCACTGTAGTGTACTACTGCATCAGACCCTTCAAATTATTTGCTAGCTTAGCAACTGAGTGAGACAGCAAGTTTTATAATCTCATTTGAAGGGGCCCGAAACCTTCAAGGTAGTACTGAAAAGAATAACTAAAGAAAGCAAAGCATTTCAGTTCAGCCTGGAGGAGAGCAAAGCTGCCGTGCACTGTAACCCCAGTCACAGGAACATAAGCGTCGGTGGCAGGAGGCAATTACAATAACAGCCTTAGGAGGAGATAATTAAAACAGTAGCAGCTATGGGAGGTCCCACCTGTAGGGTTGAGAAAGAGCTGTTTCCAGTGCAACAGCCCTACAGAGAGCTCATCAGAAATTAATCTAATCCAGCTCAGTTCAGTCTTTGTGGACTGCTGCAGTGCGCTCTGCATACAGTATCTGCCCCTTTTGTCTCTGAGACTCCCTACAGTGGCCTTGTATGTTTGTTAATACATAAAGACTGAGAAGATTCAAACTCATCTGTGGTGTTATCACAGCTGCATCACACAGAGGAAGGCGGGGGAGAGGACAGGGCAAATAAAAGTAATAGCAAGTCATGATCAGAGTTTAAAATACAGAAAACTTTATTGATGTTCTGTATGTCTCCTTCTTTCCAAATTGTTGCACAGTAAATGAAGCTGTGCTGCACATAGACTTAAATTAGCAATCTGAACAGTAAAAAGCTGGGATCACACCTTGACACACACTCATACACAGGCACACACACATTTATTCCTTCCTTATGAGTGTACTGTATGTGAAAACACACAGGACAGCAATAGACACCCAGGTGGAGCAAGACAATCACAACCCCCTCTTAAAATTCTTATTTAATTGCAGCGATAATGCAGATGTCCAAAACCTAAATTATTAAGTCATATTTAAGAATAAACAGCTCTCTGGCCCTGGGTCCTAAATTTAATTTGACTAAACTGAATCCTGTCCCACAGGGAATTAAAATAAACTGGCAACCTGTCCAGGGTGTACCCCGCCTCTCGCCCCAAACACACACACTTATTAAATCAACTCAAAACAGCAGATCTTCTTCCTTGATGGCTATAGTGAATTTAAACATTGTGACTTGCTTCTTGCTTTTCCCAGTGTGCCTCTGCTAGATGAATGACTATTTGCATTTTCTGACTGGCCTCTGCAGCTAAGAGCATGCCCACTATGTTCTCTATGTACAGTTACATAACTGTTTACTATAGACCAGAGCGAGAACCGTCTTTAAGGACGTCGTTTTTCTCATGCTTCTTATTATAGCTGTCACTGACACCAAAAATAAAATAGTAGACTGGCAATAAATAAAATCAAATTCATCCATGTCAGAAAAAACAGCTACTACTGTATAATCCATCTAGATTGTTTAAAACCCCTTCTAGGTAGCATTCTGCTGTCCAGACAGAGATGCAAATAAATAAAAGCAATACTGATGCTGCACTCTTAGTACAGTACATTTAACACTGTTATTACATGAACCATGAAATAAAGGTGCACCTTCAGTATTTTCAGAAGCCAATATGCAAGGCACAGCACTGGCTACATTCTTCACAAGGAAGCTTTTTAAAAACATTTGTTGACTTTCATGATTATAAAACAGAACAAATGACAAAACAGTGCCACAAGAGAATTACAGCTGAGTCCCAGTGTTTCACTGTGGACTAAAGACTAAACACTCATAGATGTGCATGATTTCTTTTTAACAGCTCAAGTCAGTTGGTCCTGAAGGTGCCAAAACCCCCAGTAGAGAAAAAGATTGGAGACTGCTCCACCCTTCTGCACTGGGACTCTTATAACACTGAATATTCAAAAACAGTATGAGCTAACTATTAAAAAGTACTTTTTAGTGCCCAAATAAAAATCGTTGGAAGACCAGATAATGGGGATTCAGCTGTAAAATGGTACCAACTTCAGGGAACACAGTAGCAGTATGTTAAAGGGCATGTTTGACAATTTAGTTTTACAGTATCACGACGGCTTTTAAAACAGCAATGTTTTTATTTTATTAATATTTATTCTGATATTAGAAGACTGTTAGCTTCACCTTAAAGGGGTACTCCAGTGACTTAAATCTGCATGTGTGAGTCTGTGCAGCAGAGGCTGTGATATCCTGTTAGTCCAGAGTATGGCTAGCTCCAAATGCACTGGAGACTCCATTTCTCATAATTCAATGCGAGAGCATTTTTTGTTAGAGCCTCTCTGCCTGGCAAACCTCACACCACGAGTTTATAAAACAGGCTTTGTTATAAATGAGTGATTTCTTTATTAAGACCTTGCTGATATCGCTATGACATCGTCGAGGTTATTCTGTCAGACTTGAAAAGGTAGTGCTGGCCATGATGAGGAAACTGAGCGTGATGTGTAAAATCAGTGGAGTGCCCCTCTAAAGTTTCTTAATAACAAAACCATTTATGGCAATACAGTAGTAATAGTTTATAAACCTAACATTGCAGTGGTAGGTGGCCAATAAGACAATAAGTCTCAAATGTGACCTTCAATTATACATTGATTTTTGATTCATGAAAAGCCACTGACTGATGCTGGAAGAGGTTAATAAATAACATCTGCTCACACAGATCTGAGTGAAGAAATATAGACTGTAGATCTGTCACTGCTGTATCGCCATAGAATACAGACTATTTCAGTTTTGAAAATACCCATAAGGCAAAATCAGGCACAGGATCATTTAAATGTGGCTGAGTTTCTTGTCAAGGGCTACCGAAGTTAAACTGATTAGCTAGACTCCTGATATGTATCTGGACATTTTTATACAAATGTAAACATTCAATGATATTGCACTCGGTCAGCGTACTAACATTCTGTGTCACTACACTTATTTTTAGGCTGATAAAGTGCTTGGATGTAAAAAATATTTGAACAGGGAAAATGTTCACCATTCCTACATTAAATCTGAGACTTTTGAAAACTTCAGTGTGTAGAACACACCACAACAAAATTAAACCATGGTTTTGTAGGCAAGCCATAAATGGGGTATTTCAAATGAGCTACCTGAAGCAAAATGATGCATCCAAACAAAGGGGAGGCAAGGCTCTGTGTCGCTGGGTTTTGGTTTCAGTATTTACATCTTGAAAATGTCAGTCAAACAACCTTCCCATGCTCTCGTGCCTGAGAAAAAGTACAAGTACAGTAAGAATTAGTTCAAAAGTTTCCATAAGTCACATCGCTTCTCTTCTCTATATGAATAATAATAAGCAAGTGGTCATATATTTTCAGGGTGGTCCGGTGCTAGACGAGTTGAAGGGGCATTCTCTCATGAGACCATTACTCCTGCACTCAGACATAAGTGGTGGTGAACACATTTAAACTGAAATTGAATATTAGACAACTGCAATGCAGATTTACTGCCTCTTTCTCCATCTTCTTCCATTTATTGCCTCATCCATTTGCACTTCCCTCCATTAGACCATTTACACATCTATTGATTTTGCCATTCCTCTTCTTGTCTCACACTGACCTTGTCACTGCTGGTGGAGTGTGGTGGGTGTGTCTCTTCTGGCTCCAGGCTCAGAACAGACAGACCAGAGTCTATGAGTTCCTCTATGAGAGAAAACCTTAGTTATATATCATCCAAATGTACTTTCAGAAATGTCAGGGACCACTGAAGCTATTACATACCTGTGTTTGTGTTGCTCATGTTGCACTTTGTAAGTTCTACAGGCTGGAGAGAGCTCTCCTGTAAAGAAGCACAGGCTTTTTCAGCCGGGAGGGAGCCTGGAGCTGTGGACTGGGGGCTTTCCTTTTTAGTACAGTCAATGTTATTAGCTGGGGTAACAGCAGAAGCAGACAGACCACCTCCCTGATCCTGAGGACTACCATCATTCTGCTTGGCACTTTCAAGAGGCTGCTGTGGCCCCTGCATTTCATGTTTGTTCTTTTTAGGTGAGGGCATTTTTAAGGAACTCGGACTTCTGGATTCTGAGCTGACAGAGTCCTGAGGGCCTGAGGTTTGCCTCGTATGAGCCCGATGAATGAGTTTCTCTGAGAAGCGAACTTTTTTCTCCGATCCCCGAGGGGACGAGGACTCTGCCTTCCCCGGTGTGGGGGAGTCCTCTCTCAAGGTAGCAGCAGGAACTGTGGATCCACTCACTTCCACAGATGTGCCCAAAAACTCTCGGCCGGGCAACAGCTTGGTTTTTGAGTCCTGATCTTTCTGATCCTCTGCTTCAGTGTCTGTGAGGGCATCGAGTTCCTCTAAGAATTCCTCCAATGTTGTATCACATGCCTAAGGGATGAGATTAGAACAACTAATCAAGTGATTTCCCTTTTTTCAATTTTATTTACCATTGCAATTCATTTTTTGCACTCACACCAGTTTAACCTCTTACCTTTAAGCTCTCTCCTTCTTCATTCACCTGCCATCTGATAATTAAAAAGACATTTGTCAAAAGCTTTTATGTAAAAATGTGGAAATCATTGTAAATATGTGATTTTGTGTGCTTCTTTGTGCCATTCTTGTTTGTTATTCTTTTGCCCTATTACAAAGTTCAACTTACAGTAAACACTATCAAAAGGTTCAATGAGCTGTTTGCCCCATTTTTGGTATTTGTGCTATGTTAATCCTTTCCTGGCTGTAACTTCCTATTTAGCACATAGAAATGAGGTGCATTGAGCTTCATATCTAACTCTCACCAACTAAACAAAGTGTATTTCCTAAACCATCAAACAGTTCCTTTAATATTGCATAGTCAAGAATGAGAAAGAAAAGGAAAGGACGAGAAAGGCGGAGACAGGAAGCTGCGGGTAACTTAGCTCTAGCAAGCTGAGTCTTAGGTCTCAGCAGCTGTAGTATTAGTGGCCTGTGGGCTGCTGCAGGAGATCATCTGGCACAATACACTTTCACACTGAGAGGCTATAATGCTTCACTTCGAGGTCTGTGGTCTTGGGGCATTTTGAGATTATGAGCAATGCTTGTAAAACAACACACCCTGAAAGCCTCCTCACAACTCAGCACAGTAGCTTGCTTCACGACAGAAGCAAGCTGGAGGAGTAAAACATAAAAACCGTGAGATGAAACATCTTCTGGGTTATTTAGCCAAATGACCCTACTGCTAAATCAAGGTTTGTGACATCCAGGGGAATTTGTACATTGGGGCAGTAAAACAACATGTCCCACATCTGTTGTATGTATTTTATCAGTTATATAAAGTAAAGGTAAATTGAGGCTGTGGTAAGAGACATCCCATTGGTTTCATCAGCTTTAACATCAGCACCAAACTAAAGAATGTTTAGCAGTTACTGACCTCCTGGCCCTCCCAGTCAGACGATCTTTGCCTTTTGCTTTACTGCTCATCACTAGCACATTTTTAGCTCCCTTGTCTTTGCCTTGTTTCTCATGACCTAAGGCGGAAGAATGCACACAGTCACAATTTAAAGAAATTGCCATTTCTCTTCCTGCATAGATAACAGTATATCTTTAATCAGATCCTCACTGTGTGAAGGAAAATTTCTTTAACTTTTGGGGGTGGGGGGGTGGGGTGTTATCACAGCTGATACCCCTTTAACCTGTTTAATAAATAGAACAAATACCTCTTGAATCAGCGCCTGCCCTGGATTGTCCTTTTCTAGTATTTTTTCCACCTGGAATTCAGTAAAAGATAAATAATAAAGACCGAGATAGCATTGCCACCCATCGTTTTTTCATGTTTTACAGTGAAAGGATTTGTTTTCATATTCTTAGCCTGCAGTATGTGTGGTCTATGTCTCACCTCTGCTAGAGGTCCCCCAGTCTCTGTCAGGCAGGGATTTGTCTGAAAACCTAAATGTGGAGGTTCAGTTTAGACAGGAGCACAAACCAGTGTAAGCAGTGTCTTGGTCATGTTTACCTTTTTTGTTCAGGTTACATAACAACGCATCTCCACCCTGTCAACAGGCTCTTCTGACATTCCAGTATCATCACTGTGCACTATTATGGGCCTACAATGTGTCACATCACTGAGAGATTTTGCTCCATTAGTCATTTTACATTCATTGAAACCAACTAAACTGCTGAATCAAAAACACACTTCCTCTTCTGTTTTGGCTCCAGGGCCTTGTTTAAGCCGCACCAAATAAGGCAAGGCATTCCATGCCTTATCCCAAGCTAATAATAGCAGCTCTTCCCTTGACTCGTTACATTTTGGTGCTCCCTTTAAACACCAGTCAGTCAGAACCGATGAAGCCTCTTGGATGAGAGGTGAAACGTATTCGACCTAGAAATCTAAGTCCAGTTGATTTTTCAAGTTTTTTCAGCATACAGTTTGTTTAACTGATAAAAACACTAAGTGTAAGAACTAAAGTTTACAGCGAGGAAATAACACAGTCCAAAGACATGTAGCTTAGTTTGACTGGCAATTCTAAACTGCCAGTAGGAGTGAGTGTGAGTGTGCTTGGTTGTTTGTCTACACGTTAGCCCTGTGACAGACTGGCAACCTGTCCAGGGTGGACCCCGCCTCTTGCCCAAAGTCAACTGGGATAGGCTCCAGCCCCCCAACAACCCTATTCAGCAATAAGTGGTATAGATTTGGATGGATGGAACAATGGTTCAAGTGCCCATGCAAGTAGCAAAAGGGCTGTACTTGATCTCATTAAAGCAGGGGTGTGTTTTGGGCGTAATATAGAATTACCCTATCAATTTGTAACCTCACATCCCCTTTAAGAAATATGAGTTTGGATGTTTAGGGGGTTGCTAGCATACTGGTGGACTTACCAGGTCAGATGCCACAGACATCAATGCATATATATTGAAATGCACAGCACCCGATGAACACGATGCCATCTTTTTATTTTTTAAGTTTTGTCCTGCACAGCATGTCCCAGGGTATAGCAAGCACAGTGCATGAGCACAGGTGTGCATCACAAGATGGTCAAAGCAAGCCATTAACTAGCAATGATTATTTGACTGTTGAACACAGACCTGGTTTCTGCTGGTCAGTGGCGCAAACACTTTATGTGACCTCCTATTACCAACATGCCCAGAACTGACCTGGACAGAACCCATTTTTATCCGGACAAACCTGCCTCCTCAGACTGCTGCTTGGTAAAAGGGCAACGTGATGTACATGTCATGAAAACGGAAATTATGCAGGTAGGAAATTAGGAAACACAGACATGCTACTCGCCTCGCACGCCATGCATTTGTTGCAAGATAGGGCCCTTTATGATAGACTAAGATAACAGAGGGTGTTCTCAATTTTCTGACAAAGTCTTGGAAAGAAGGCAATCCCGCATGCACACAGCATGAAAACCTCTTGTACACTCATTATACATGCCTATATCCTTGTGCTCTTTCTAGGAAATTGTATAACTAAGCAGACTGAGATCTGCTTAGAGAAGGCGATTTGAGGCCAGAAGGTCACCGCTTCTATTTCCTGGACCAACTTGGGAAAAAATGAGTGGGGAAAACTGGACAAATAATACTCAGCTCTCCTGTAGCAGCTATTACCAAGTGGTCCTCTAAAAGTATTTTATTCACTACTGCTCAGTGGTTGATGGGAAGATGAGTGTGAATGCAAAGTAAACATGTTCAGGCAACATTTCTTTGACAAAGATTAAAAAGAAGTATTTTCCAATGTGAAACTGAGCGTACAGGATGCCAATAAAAAGGAAAGAGCTGTGACACAAAGTGCCATGGGAAAATTATTTAGAACTCTTACATGTTCTCAGTTTTATCCATGTCCCATGCCCGTCTCCACTGGCCCTTAGCATTTTTATGGCGTGCCACTCTCTCCCTGTCGATCTGCTCGCGCTCTTTCTTCCACCTCAGATACTCCTCCTGCTCCTCTTTCGATGTGGGGATGTTGAGGTCTGTGGTGGCCTGTGAGGTCTCTGACTCCTATGTGGACAAAAACATTTCAGTATGTTCCAAGGAATAAAAACAAGTCACTTCCTTAAATCAGATTTTTATCAGGATTCTGTCCCACTGTCATTAAAGAAGCACTGGTGTAACTAAACATTACTAAGTGCCACTCATTGTCATAATACAATACCATTGAAGCATCACTCACACACAAATCAGACCAGCAGAGGAAACAAGCTCAGCAGCCTAAAATAAAGCATAAAGTGGTCATAAACAAGAACACTCTCACACACACACACAATTACACAGTGGCAGTGCAATATAGAGATCAGTAGCGTTCAAAATACAGGAAACAAATAAGGGTGCTTCTGGTATTATCATGTATTCTACATTACTGTAAATACCAGTCACTGCCTCAATGTAAATAATAATGGTGACCTCTGGGACCATTTAACTCCTATTTGATTACAAAAAGCTTCTTGTTTATCTACCATGATGACTGTGAGGCAACATAATTGAATTCTTTGAGGTAATATTCCAGGAAACGTCTAGTGTACACGGTAACTGCAATTAGGTCGCCTTCCTCCATTGCCCTCCTAATCTGTTTATTGATTACTGTGATGAGAGCAGAGAGGATTGCTACAATAATAATATAGACAGATCTAATGCAGGTTCTTTAATACATCCAAGGGGACAGAGGCCATGTGCTCTTGTTACACAGCTGGAGCGAACTAGGACTACAGACAGTGCTGTGCTTTGAGGGAAATCGTGTAAAACACCAATGATCTCTGAGATAAATGCCTGTGACCGCTTGGTGTCTAGAGAAAAATGAAAACTGTGTGATGCTCTACATAAACAATGAAAACCAATCAAAGAAAAGAAGCACAACGCAGTATGAAACTGTGATGATGTTTTCCTCTCAGGTGTTTACAAGTCAGAACCAATTAAACATGTTGCCATCCTACATGTAGTTATTGGAGATTTTGGCTTCTGTTTTCCATCTCCTCTCCCCTCTCTTTCCTGTGGCCCCCAGAGGGTGCTGGGAGCCACTTGGGAAGGCGTTTCTTGCATGTTCCAACAAGCCATCTCCTGCTGCCACCCCAGCCGCCCAGTTAATTAGCACTTATCAATTTTTGCCTCTGAGTGTTGGTAGTGTTGGGAAAGTCTCAAACTGTCAAATTTAGATATATTATTAGAAGAAGATTAGTAAATAGTGAAAGAAAAGCATGTTCTTATTTGGATTCCTCCATCAGTTGCACTGGTTTAGGCCATAATTTGATTTGAAGGGCTTTACAGTATATTTGTTAAACAAGACTGTAACAAAGCCAAGGGCAGTCTGAGGAAAAGGCTCTCTACTTGGCATTTCCTTGAGCACGTACTCAGCTTGGACTGCAGAGCAGATAAGGTGCAGAGGTCCACTAAGGCATGAACAGCATCAATTGTCATGTAGCGTATTCAGCGGGTCTTTGAAGCCCATACTCCCTGCCTCTCCTGTTTATCACACATCTGATCTGTGAGACACCTCTGGGCTACTCCAGCAACGTTAACACATAAGGCAGTGGGAGGCAGACGGGGGCAAGCACTGTGTTGCACCTATCTGAGTGTGAATGTTTGTGATGACGGTAAGGTGCATATTTGCATTTTTCTTTTGTTTTTGTGTTTTCACATAGTGGCACAGTCATATGGAAATCTTGTATTTCACATTTGTTTTCATTTCTGTGAAACATTTGGTCATTATGAGCTGGAGCTCCAGTCCTGTGGTTTATGGGTTGTCTCAAATACTGAGAAGGTGATGTTTTCGAGACAGTGACAATATTCATGCTTACATGTTATGTGTTTATGCAAGTGAGTCTATCTTGGCAGCTAACGTATTGTGGTACCCGGTATTGCTCTGAAAGCCTGTTATATCCTTGAGTGTGCTTCTGCTCTTGTTTAACCTTATCCGGTTATAGTGGAGAGACAAGAAAAAAAAACATGAACATTACAACAATAAGGGTTACACAACAACCTGTTGCCAGTCAATTACACTTGGTTGTAAAAAGTCCCATTACTGCTGCCATGAACAGTAAAAGCAAACCAAGTGGGGGAAAAGACTCATCCACTGGGGATGTTTAAGAAGTGTGCACTGCCCCCAAGTGGACCAATGGTGCTACAGCATGACTTGGCACACGTTTGGTTTTAGGACCAGGGAAAAAAACGAGACTAAATGTAGTTCACAAAATAAAAACTATGTCAAAATGTCTCTATTTTCGTTGACCAAAACGAAGTGAAATGTTATGTTATTTCGTCTCGTTCAGTCGCGTTATTATTATTATTTTGCAGTATTTCTGTTTCCTGTGTCTCGCTTCAGGGGCCGTATCAGGTCGCACTACGCAGACACAGGCGATGTCACTTCCTTAAGCTCCATTTGCAGCATTATTTAGAAGACGACAACAAACAAAGTTAAGTCTGACACAGAGAAAGGGACCAATGGCCGGCTGGCCGGAGTTTGTCTTTTAGAGAAAAAGAAGAAATGACATTTGGAAAAACTTTCATTACATAGAAGTGGAAAAGAAAATGGAGTGGAAAAAGATGGGGAGAAATGTGGCCACAAAATCACACAACATGTGTATTGGATGTATTCTTGAGTCTATAAGGTAACAATAATATAATAAGATAACCTTGTTTGAAATGGGTTTGGCTCAAAGAAACTTTTGGTTTCATCTATACTACTAGGTACTTATACTATATTGACTAGGTTAAATAGAATTGCATTGCTAAAGAGACTAAAATACAATTTTCACTGACTAAAACTAGACTAAATGTCATCAGTTTTCGTCGACTAAAACTATACTAGACTAAAAAGAGTATGAACGTGACTAAAACTAAAATGACAGCTTCACACAAAGACTAGACTAAAACTAAAATTAAAACAGGCTGCCAAAAACAACTCTACTCTGCAGTAGGATCATCAGAGAGTGCAATTTATGGTTGAACTTCAGTGACTTGAAAAATGAAACTCTTCTTACTGCAGGTAGAGAATAGTATGAATATTGTTTCTGGTGTATTTCTGACTGCAGGTTGAGCTCTGGTGAACACAGTGAATGAGTCATGTGGCCATTAAGAGCCATGCTCGCATCAATAGCCAGAGGGAAATGACAATAAATGCTGGACCTAGTGGTCTAGTGTGCACCTACAGACAATGGCACCCACACACTTACTTACGCATACTCTCCTTCCTACCACGCACTAATGTGGTCTAGCACATATGCAAACACAAAAGGCTGACTGACTGCCTTGTTTCTTTTATACTGTCTCCTCGCAATTTCTCTTCCTCACGCTCCCTGACCCTTTTCTGGCACCTTGCCAGGCCCATCTCTTTGGCAGCATAAGGAGCCTTTTCAGAGTGAGAAGGCAGTCGAATGTTAATTAGATCAAATCAGCCCTTTCAGGGTAGTGGGAATGGGGAAACAATTGTGCCAGCAGAGGGCAGACTACTTATGGTTCCAGGGAGGAGATACAGAGGCTGCAAACAGGCTGTGAGCTGCCAAGAGTCTCCCTCGTCCTCAGTTTCCTTTCTCTTGTCTGTCTCTCTCATGAATATGAACTGACATTTTAATCATGAGGTACTTTACAGGCAGTACAATCTGACTGGCGCAGAGCCAAATAACCACACCCCTATCCCAGAGTCATTATTTATTTCCAGAGTGTCTGATGCACACACCCTCATTAGGAAAATACTGTATGTCGGTGTCAGGGCAAAGCCACAGCATTGTGCTGCTCATCTTAAATATTTTTCTAACATTTGTCAGACAGATACATGACATTATCTTCTCCCATATCACCCCTGTGCAGCATTTTTCCTGCCAATCTCAAAAGCAATGTTAAATTATACTGGTTATATAAAGAGTGAGCATGTGGAAGCCAGGTCTCTGGGATTCACAGATAACTGGTGCACTGGAGCACTGGTAAGTGTTCAAGTGCTGATTCAGTCCACATTATAAATATAGGGGCACAGACCAAGCAGGCCAGAAATAAAAGCAAGTGAACGGTGTGTTCCTGGTGCATATGAACTCAGACAGGCCAGTGAGCAGCTCTCAGTGTATATACTCTACATTTTTTGATTTAAGCCTTCACACGTTTTGTGCCTCTCCTGTCACTGGGGTGTGTCTGTGTTTACAGTGCTGAGGATAGTTGGTGCTTATTGATTGAGCAGTTTGTGTATGACCAGCAATGTGAGGAGTGGTTTGAATTTTATTCTATGGGAGTGAGGACATTTTGGCCGGTCCTCACTTTCTCACACCCTTTTTAAAGGGCTGTTTGATTTAAAACTAGGTTTTAGGGTTCAGGTTACAATTAGGTTTGGGTTACATTAAGAGCTGAGGTTAGGAGTTTAGTTGTGATGGTTAGAGTAGGGGGCTATTGAATGCATAATGTCAATGTGTGTCCTTACAAAGATAGCTATACAAATGTGTGTGTGCGCATGCGAGGCTTCAGACTGAGGCAGAGCAGCTGTTCCAGAGTTTCTGCATACCCAGGGGGCCTAAGGTTACTGACAGTGTGGCATTTCACAGGCCAGCCAAGGGTACAGCATGTGCCTTCTGCCTATCTGCATTAAACATGGGCTCTCATGCATACAGCACAGTATACAACAAAGCTACTGATGTTAAATTTGATATCTCAGTAACACTTTATTTTACAGGTCTGTAAATTTCATTTTATTTCCAAATAATTTCCTAAGATGTTTCCTGGAAAGAACCATAAAATTTGGAACTAATTATAGGTAAATATAGAGAGTGGTCCATTGGTACACTTCTAGTTATTTCTAAATGCTAAGCTAGCACAAATTTGAGGCTTTTTAGTCAGAGGACATTTAATATAATAAAGTGAGGTCTAAATTGAGAAATTTCTTTCATGAATATTCATCTGGAGGCCAATAGCAAACGCAACACAACTCAGTGAACTAAGTAAAAAAAAAATCTATATCAGAACTTTATCTCTGTTTTTCTGTAATCAGTACCAAACTAAATAGTTCCTTGCAGGAAACTTTCAAGAAGTGATTTGGAAATAGTGGACCTGTAAAATAAAGCCTTAGCGATGTCTCCAGTCTCATTCTATTATTGTTAACAAGACCTTTTGTTGCATTCTTACAGCATCTATCAATCTTTCTTGGGCTTTAGAAGGATTCTAATTTCCACACAACCAAAGGCACCCAGAGGTTGAGTCTTTTATCTTTTGCTAAAAATACAACATAGGCCCCTTAGAGTAAAAAAGAAGATAAATAACCATCAGAGCTGAGAGGGATTACACTAAAAAGATGTATAAACAGTCCTGCCTGATTCTTGGTGCTTTTAAGATTTGGTTCTACAGAGCATCTACTCTACTAATGGCTCTATTAGCAGCCCCCTTTCTTCCCACACCAGTCAATCACAGGACCAGTCCACCTCCTGTCTGCAAACCATTGTTCTCCATCACTGGAGGTGTGGGGCCATCTGACATGTCTGACATCTATGTAAAACATGTTGATGCAGCATGAGAGAAAGAATACAGAAGGGGTGTGAGAATGGAAGCAGACTGGAGGGTGCATGCCAGGTTGTAAACGCCAGTATGATCACTGGAGTGTTCAGTGTGTTTGATTCAGACCTGCACTGTTGTCTCTTTCTTGGTCATGTGAAGTTGCTGCTTCACCCTCCCTGCTGACTGCACACGCTTGGCCTGTCCATCATCTGTAGGGCTTTTAACAACTGCAGGGCCCGGCTTCTTCTCTGGCTTCTCACTCACCATTCGCTTACCCTAGAAGGATGGAAACTCATATGAGACTGCAGCAAGGTGCACTGTAATACCAGTGCCAGTGCCAGTAATACCAGTGCTACCAATGCTTAAAATTTCAGAATTGATGGAGAAAAATAAAATTAAATAAAAAATGTAATTAAAATGTGATAAATTGCTAGATTATTCCTTTATCAAATATCTGTTTAGCTCATTGTAGCTTTCTTTTTCTGTAGGTTTCTCTGTCCTTAGCTTAATTGAGCCAACACACATTGTCACCTGGTTTTTCGTACTGTTTTATTTGTTTGCCTGGTGTTCTGTTGTCCTGTCTGAAAGTTGTAATGCTGCTGTTCTGGCTAGTTCTGCCTTGACAAAAAGATTGCTAACCTCAATGGGATTTACCTGGTTAAATAAAGATTTTTAAAATAGGGTCAGCGGTCTTGCCAACAGTTCACATGATAGGATAAGTGACATTTTCAGTTCAGTATTGTCAGATTATGTCTGTTCTCTGGTCTATTTTAGTGGCACAGTATCTGAATGCTTCTAACTTTTCAGAAGGCACACTGCTGCAGGCACTTCAGCTCTTTGCTGCATAGGCATCATTAAGTGCTCCTGCTTTCTTTGCGTGTTTGTTTAATTTGTTTTCATTTATTTCAATACAGGGGTTAGGGTTCTCTTGGTTTTCCTTTTCACTTGAATTGGAAGTTCACTGTGGGGTGAAGTTACCTTTTTCCCAGCCATAGTGACCATTAGCTGTTTCCTGTGGCCCCGTCCAGTGCCCTGCAGAGGACCCTCTACCCCCTTGTCAGGCCCAGCATCTTGCTGTCCTTTTCCAGCTGGTGGACCACTGCTGAATGGCTTTGTCACCACCACACGACTCTCCTGCTCCAAACCAAAGAGGAGAACATGTTACAAAATATTTATGTAATTTGTAGCATTGTGTCCTCTGCAGAAAATCTTTCACCAAATGCTGTCTATTTACCATTCACTCTATACAGTGTTACTGACACTGGTTCTCATTTCCATCACCTCACACTGCAGACACTCACACTGGTGGACTTGTTGATTGTGATAGTTAGATCATCAGCTTTGCCCTTGCGGCTCTGCAGCGCCATTCCTTCTTCTTCTGCTCTTTTCTTGTCCTCCTCCACCTCCTAAATGCAACTCAAGGAAAGCAACAAACTAATCAGGAACTAATCAGCAAGAGCTCCTGGCCTTCACAGACAAAAACAAACATGCCTCACATTTGCATTCCTACACCTGATGGCATTCTGGACTCCACAGATAATTCTCTGCCTGTGAGCACTTGTCCTTACCTTATACCTCTTCATGAGCGCTTCATTCTTCCTGCGGAGAGCTTCAATCTTCTTGTCCAGCTCCAAGTCCCTCTCATGGTCCCTCTTGGGCATCATGTCGCTGGGGGTCTATAAGGAGATACTATACATCAAATCATTAATTCCATTGCATTTAACTAAGTCCATTTAGCAAAGCTCCTAAATGGTAAATGTTGTCTAGACACAATTTCAAGAACTTTGTAACATAAAATAGTTTAAAACTACTGCAACTCTGATTGTCATAAGGAACTATTGGATAAAAGACGAGTAAAAGGGATTATTAATCCAACTACATATTTTATGCCAGCTTTCAGTATTGAATTGATTTTGATACTCGTTGTCATGGTCACATGTTGGACTATACAAAAAATACTGAGGTTCTGTACTCACTCCTATTTTGACTACTTTTCTGTATGTTGTGAGTTTAAAAAAACAGCTATAAAATAGATACAATAATAATAATCATTATTTTAAAATAAGTGATAAAAACAACATAAAACATTTAATATTGTCTGCTTATCAATAGATAGAGTAGAAACTAAGACAAAAAGGTCAAATATTAATCACTGATGGATGAAGAGCCACATTGAATATGAGTGTATTGTGATAACACCACAGCATTAGTGCACTCTCACACCCACAGCAGATGAAGCAATGGTAGAAGAAGTACTCATTTGTTTAAAAGATAGCAATACCACAGTGTAAAAATACCGTTACAAGTAAAAGTCCTGCATTCAAAATGTCACTTAAGTAAAAGTACAACAGTGCAAACAAAAAATATACTTAAAGTACCAAAAGTCAAAGTACTCATTATGCAAAATGGCATGGTTTACATCGATGTACATCATACTATTCAATTATAAGTACTGATGCATTATTGTGTACATTTTAATGTTGCAGCTAGTAAAAGTGGAGCTCATTTTAACTACCTTACATTTATGATGTGAATTACTACTGAGCAGCGTGCAAATTTTACACCAAGGATCAATAAATCATGTAATTATACTGTATTTTGTTTTATTAGCCTCTTTCTGAAAAGTAACTAGTAGTTAAAGTAAAACTACCTTTAAAGCACAAAGAGACCAGAGGTCTGGATCAGGTGAATGAAATGTCAGAAATGCCATGAAAGAACAAACTGCAACAAGGTTCGGATCACAGTGCCTGCAGTCCGCATGTCGAAGTGTTCTTGGGCAAGACACTGAACCCCCAAGTTGCCCCAGTCAATAAGACAACTTAAATGTACTAGTGGATGGATTCTAGCCATATCCCCCTTTGTCAGTCTTTATGATAAATTGGGCTAAACTGACTGCTGTCTATAGCTTCATATTTAATATGTAGAGTCAGTCTTCTCATCTAATTCGCAGCGAGGAAGCACATAAGCGTTATTACCCAAAATGGCGGACTATTCTTTTAAAGTTATCTACCATTGTATATACAGTAAAATGCCAGCACAAGGATTCGTCACAGTATTTCAAAGGCACATGCCACAGGCAAACTGCTTACTTGTACTCAGTTCAGCAGATATGTTTTTCTCTCTTCATAACCTCAGAAGGATTTAATCCATCACATGAACAAGACAATACCCAACAAACGACAATCACTGTAAACAAAGAAGCTCTCAACTCAATCACCAAAATAATGGTTTTCCAGTTTGAATCATTGCTGGCATCATTCATTTGATCCACAGCTAAGGAAAAGAGGCCAAATGTCACCACTGCTTGCTTGTCAAAACTGTGAAACAACACAATTCATTTTGAAGTATCCCATTCTCCACACTCTGTAAAAATTATTCAGATGGGCTAAACCTTCTTGACAAGTAGAGGAAGTAGATGTGCTCTACTGTATGTGATGTTTCTATCTCAGAATGTTGACTCATGGCTAGCAGATACACAAAAACCATCACTGGGACTGCAAGAAATTGTTTGTTGCTTTTTCCATCCCTACAATTGTTACACCTGCAAAGAATGACTGCTACTGAAATGTTCAATTACTGCACTCAAATCTGACTCTCAGAAAGATGAACCTTTTGAAAATGTAAGGTGTCAGCACAGACTTTGAATAAAATAACAAGAACAGCGCATCCAGAATCCATATGCATCTCAGCCCTGTTTCAAACCTGTGAATACACAGAGAGCACAAGAAGAGTTGGGACTCACTCAGAGACGCAGCAGGCTGGAAAGTGGTTACCTCACAGCTTCTAGTTGTCAGGGTATCCAAACACAACAGACCATGAGGACATACCACTAAGAATAGGCACAAGTGAGAGATGCACTACCATTCCAATGTAACAAATCTCACAAGGCCACTGGCGAAGACTGGAGTGAACACTGGCCTACACAAACCAAAGTGGAGACAGTCTGTGCGGGGATGGCCGGTTCTGTGATTGTGCAGCAGCAAGGCTAACACACAAACATACACACACAAAAACTAGCCACACAGAGATACTGTGGGTCTGCCAGCGGATGGCAGCCATTCACGGATAGGCAGGCAAAAGAGGGAAAGGGGGGGCCTGCAGAGAGAAAGCTGCCAAGCTTCCTCCCTACCCAATGTTCCTGCCACCTACAGGAGCTACAAAAGGGGAAAGAGAGAGCCAGAGACACAACTGAAATGCTGCATGTATCCAAAGCCAAATCTGCGACACAGCAGAAGAGGAGCAGGGGAACCTAATACCAGAGAAAGAGCTGGAGAGTGAGGGATGAGAAGAAAAAGAGGAAGGAGAGAGAAGACACTCACAGGTCTTTCCATGTCAGCGGTGAGAGCTGGGCTGGGTCCAGACGTGAAGCAGCCGAGGCGGCGGAAAGGAATCAGCGATCATGCCTCGATTACAATGAGCTAAGTTGGGCAAGCAGCCAAGATGTCTAACAAATGCACAGAGCTCCCCTGTTAACAGATTTCACAGCACCCACCCTCTTCTCTCTCCCTCTCTCTCTTTCCGACCCTCCCACCCTCCTGCACATATAATCTCTCGCTCCCTTCTCCCTTTATAAAGCACTTGTTCTTTCCCCTCCTCGCTTATCCTCTGCTCAAAGCATGCTAGTTTAATCCTGTCACCTACATCACATACACTCTGTGTAATAAAATACATTTGTACATTTACTATTTTTTTTTTTTTTTTTTGTTCAAGCTTGGCAGCCACAGCAAATTTATACTATTACTTATTTGGGCATTTTATAGCAGCAAATATCTGATTGTTTCTTAGTGTGTTCTCTCCTTGTTTAAAGAAAAGGTCCATGTGCTTATAGGCATATTGGGTTAGTGGGTACTGGTATTGGTATGTTGTGTCCTGACCAAACAAAATGGTAGAAGAAAAAAGAAAAAAAAAACCAACTCACAACTACAATACATGTTTGAAAGCTTCTTGAATCACTCCCACTGCCAATGAGAAATGACAATTTAAGGTTAGAGAAGCGAGCTTGTGACCCAAGGGTCGCCAGTTCAATCCCTGTGGAATTCCACTGGATTACCAAGGAATCCCAAGTGGAACCGTAGTATTAAATCTGGGTGGGACAGGTGACAAAGCAACACTTACCTCACCCTCATTAACAACACTGTGGTGCCCTTGAGCAAGGCCCTTAACCTCAACTACTCCAGTGGAGTTGTTTAGTGGCTATAGGTCAATTTGTGGTTGTAATAGGCAGCTTCCAGGGGTGAATGTGTAATTCTGTGAATGTGAACAGGGTGTCACTGCAAAAGAGAGGTGGCCTCTCTGTAGACCAACACTGAATAAATAAAGGTCCAAAAAATTTAATAGGGCTAAATTCACATCTAAACATAAAACCAGACATCACAAAAGAGACAACAGCTGTGTCTCTTATGAGCTCCAGATAACATGTTTAGGGTACTAAAGAAGCTTCCTAAGTGGAGTGCGTGTGTGTGTGTGTGTGTGTGTTGGGGGGAATTCTGAATTGCCACCAGATCTTCGTGCACGGCATGCATCTGCCAAAGCCTAAACAAGCAGCCAGGCAGGCAAATGCAACAGGCAGGAGTGAAGTCACTTACATATATGAAACTCAGAGTCAGTGTCTGCAATTTCCAGAGCATTATGGAAATAAACACATCTTTGAAAGTTACAGTACTAGTCTGAGTTATAATATTTTTAGCATACTAGAGTCCACATATCTTACATTCTAAACAGAACAATCCTGCTAATGAGCAAAAGCTCTTTACCAAGTATTTTAGTTTACAAGTATTTATGTTATTTTAGGATTAATGTAAGAAATGCCTTGTTGTAGGCCCCTAACATTTGAATATGTGACAATTATACACAACTAAAGTATTTGAACCTTGTGATTAGGATTATAGTTCAAGCTATATGAACCTCATATTACTGCAATGAGTAAAATGGAATAGTTACATTTTGATTATTAGGATTTAAAGGGCATTTAACCTATACACTATATGACATGATTGTGAATCTACAGGCATGCTAGAAGCTCTGTGAGGCTGCTTTGGACTAAATGCTAATAAAGAATGTGCATAGATACTGTATGTATACGTATATACACCAGATGCCGATATCAGGGCTTCTGAGATGTGTCTCACCTGCCGCCATAATTTCAGGGGCGGTATGACCATTCTGGCAAAGATATAAGGTGGAAAATGTCACACTATTTTGCTGCATTTGGTTGTTGTAATCTAAAAAATGAACCAAACAACAGCAAATAACATTTCATATGTAAGATGTTATCTTACAATATTTTACTTTTACAAATGTGATGAATTTGGTGTATTACAATAACAAAGTTAACAAATCCTTCTTTTAAGCTAACATAATGAGACTAAGTTAAGCTAGCTAGCTAATGATCAGGTGAAGAAAGAATAGCTTTGTATTTTGAAAAAGTAAAACACTAGTAAGATATAAATTATATTTATCAATTGGATCTATCATTGTACAGTATCAGTTATTGTGTTAACTAGCCTTAAATTGTTTACTTTAAACAGTTTCATGGCGGTAACATGGCATACCGTAACCTATATCTGTACTGAAACATTAGCTTTTCTCAAGAAAATTTCGTGAGCTCTTGCAATACTTTTGCAAGATCTTGAGAAACTTTTTTACTGTAATCTAGTGAAGTAAATGAGCTTGGAAACACCAATGAAAAGAACATGGACATTCCAGAGACTTTACTTGAGCCTGGTGTGTTATCATTACAAAGAGTGATTAATGAAAAACAGAATGCTAAGGTTTCGTTAACTGATGCTACACCAGAGTCAGAATAGTACAAAGGCGCATTGCATTCACCAAAGAAACAAATTTGGAGGATCTTGTCTCATAATTATGAGATACTGATCTTGTAATTATGGCTACTATATTATATATTTATAATTATAGGCTACTATCAAAGTAGCCTATCTAGCAATGCAAAAGCTGTTTCTGGAGCTGGAGCTGTTTCTTCATTCCTGACTCTCCACAGTTTGACTGTACTGGCAGGAGAGAAGAGGGGGTGGGGTGATTGGATGTTGACAAAAGCTGCCACCATACACATCACCTGCCTCTGGATCAGCCAATAGCAAAATTCAATTGCAGTAGCTGAATTTCAACCAGTAGAAGGCAGTCCCTCTCCATATTAATGAAAAAATGTAGAATTCAAATAATTTGCACTAAAATGTCAAGATTTGGACCTGAATCAATCAACACTTCTAAATGCCCATATACATTAGTTTTCAACAGAAAAAAAGTGGTTTATGGTTTAGTTACTTTTTAAGCAACTTTTTAGCCAAACAAAACTGTATGCAGATAAATACAGTGCATACTTTCAAAGATGGTGCCCCCCCTTCCAACATGGTGTGACATACCATCACATTCTCTATATCAGCATGGGACCTTGCAAATGTTTAGCAGGTCTAATGTCTGCCCTGCTCTCCATTGTAGTTTAGCATGTTAGCATGATAACATTTGCCATTTAGCACTAAATACAAAGCATGGCTGAGGAGAATAGGATGGTAATTATTTCTACAAGTATTTGATCATAAAGTAAAGTACAGGTTCACACCTACACTCACATTTATTATATATGCAATCTAGAGTCCTAAATGCCTGCATGCCTTTGGACTTTTAGAATACTCTGTGAAAGCCCATGCATTGCACGAACATGTACAGTAAAGTCAAGCCCTAAAAGGGCCCTACCAATGTAAGGACCCTCTTTGAAACAAGAGAACTGGGCCAATGTGCTACCTTGTCAAGTTTATTCTCCACATCACTGCTACAAGAAGAAGTTGCTCTTAAGAGCACTGCCTATGAGATTGATTATCAAAGGGAAGAAACAGCTTAAGTTTACTTAAAAAATAAGGATAAAAAAAATACTAATTACTGAAAATCATAGAATAGAATAGAAAGATAGGACATCAAACTAAAACTACTCAACACCACATTACAAGGATTCTCCATCTGACTGATGTCAAAGTAATAGTAGAAGCAGCAATCCCATATTTTGCCCACTCGGTGGGGCTGAATCCCTTGTTCACAGCTGGCATTTACTGGGGGTAAATAGTGTGGTGACATACAAAATGGACTAGCAAGAAAATCGAGTTCGAATCCGGGTTGCGTCAGGAAGGGCAAATGTGCCAAATGTCAACATGCGAATCGTCAGTGTGACATTCGCTGTGGCAACCCCTAATCAGGAAAAGCCGAAAGTGACTTTCTAGTATTTTTATATGAAGAATCAGTAAAGGAAAATGATAAGCACTGGAACTCCTGATAAGGACCAATGGTATGTGAGCTTCAAATCTCAGTGTCCATTCTCTATTGAGTGGAGTGATCAACAACAGCTGTGAGATCCTTTCATTGTTATTTACACTTGTCTGGTCTCCACTTTCACTTTTTTTTCATAACCTGAATTACTAACAAATGATTAACTTAAGCTATGAAAGTGCATCTGCTGAGATTAAGAAAGGCTGCAGCTTTAAAACAAACTCAGCCCTGCTCTTCAGTTTCTTGTACTGTGCTTAAATGATATGCAAAACAGTTCAGGCTATCTCAGCTAAATAAGCTGTTTTTGTAACCGCAGGAGACGACCTCCACTTTGCACGGAATGTGATTCATGTTTGTTCTTGTTTAGAAGAAACAAATTATATGTTCCTTTGTGTTGGGACTGATCTAGGCATTTTTGAAATGGTCAGTATCTACTAAAATAAAGCTTATCAAGCTTCTTCTTCTTTTTTTTTTTACTGCAATTGATAACATGGGGATTTTCACTTCTTTCTCTTATCCAGTGGGTTGCTACAGGGGGGTTACGTTTTGGAGTGGGGCTCCACCACTTCTAGAAAGTATGTGAACTGTTGAGTTTATCGCTTCTAATCAACAGCCCAGCTCTGCTGTCCTCAGTCTTGCATCATTCATTGAAACAGTGTTCACTGTGCCACTGGTTGCATGTTCATGTCAATATTATGTAATACTTGAAGTTGAGCTTGTCAGTGATGTGCTAAGAGGATGTAGTGAAATGCAGAACAAACATCACATGATCCTGACAAAGGTTAGCTGTAATTGTTTATGGTCAGCCAATCTTTCCCACAGTTAGTAATAGTCCATAATAGCTAGACCAGTTAGTTCACTAGCTAGCACAAGCGTATAACTAGTATTAAAGGACATGGATCAGAATCCAGGCCAAAACAAAACAAAAACAAAACTTTACAGGACATACTTAGTACCTAGTATATACTGTGTTTTATATGCCAATACTTAATTTGAATCCTCAGATTTGACATGGAAAAGAGGCATTTAGGCTATCAGCAATTCAGAAAACCAGAGTGCATTTCAGATTACATACAAATGGGTGTGTACTGCAACATTCCTATTCGGTTACTAACCATGAGACGCCTGTTTGTCTTTCAGCTAGCACGCTACCTGACTCACCCAATATGACCTTTTAGAACTTGTTTTCTATTAATAGCTTAAAACAGTGAAGGTGTTTCTGAGAGTTATTATCTTTATTATTAGTGTGAATGTCCAATGCATTCATTCCCAGGGCATCAAATACTGATGTTTTGTCAAGTTCCCTTTGCGTCTCCCAGGGACACTACAGGGTGCCTTTGGCCTTTGGCATACATATAAAACGCTGTGGGTTTTCATTATATAACTGCATTAGCCCACTTCTGTCTGTACATAAAAACAACACTGTGCTTATATTTAGGGAAAAAAACACATCTATGCACAAAAACAAAGTTATGTTAAGGAACAAAAAACAAACTGCTTATGGTATGGTTAACAAAATATTGTGGCTTGGGTTAAAACAAAACAAAACAAAACAAAGACGGATTAAAAAAACCCACTTTGTTAGTCATCGGACATCAACTCCATCTCTCCACGGGAAAGTTAGCTGTTTTGTTGTTTTTGGCATCTCTAGGAAACACTGAAAGTATTTGACATATCAGCAGCATTTGACACCCTGGGACTGAAGACATGCTTGAATACCCACATAGACAGTGAGGGCGATGCTACTGCTGTTACAGTTTGAACTGGTGGTGAAAGGCCAGCTATAAACAAAAGTATGTGTACACCAGGGTGACCATTGTCAGTCACAGGTGTAAGCCTACTAGAGATTCTTGTTTCTGAATTACTGACTTTGGCGCCACTGAGATCCAGCTGCATGCAGGGATTAATTTTATTTTACAGCACCATGCTGAAGCCATAAGGAAACACTCATAAGCTCTAATGCATAATAAATCTTACAGTAGTGGAAAGCAGAAGTAGGAAACTTAGACACATGACTTGACTCGAGTCAGACTTAAGTTGCAAATTTGAGGACTTGGGGTTTGCTTGACTGACACTGGAAAAAGACAGAGTTTGTATTCATGACTTAGACTTGAGCCAGATGACTCAAAGTACTTCACCTTTTTTAATTAAACATTTGCTTTTTTCTAGATATTGAGAAGTTACAGTATGTTTTGTTTTTGAAACGCAATTGGGTGATTCATCTGTCACTACGAAATTTACAATGGAAAGTGCATGAATTTGTATTTTCAGCTAACGTTACCTAACTTATTGCTAGAAGTTTACCATTAAGTTGAAGCTGTTAGACTTGGCTCCGAATCATTTATGCCTTTTTTTTTCGATGAGTTTCTGAAAGCCATAAAAGGCATGCTTTTTATTAAATTTAATAGTTAAGGGTTAGTTCATAGCTGACAAATGCACAATAACCACAGAAGGTTTGTGAAAGTTTCTCTTAAACACATGCTATTCTCATTACACTATCAGGTCATCGGAATTTGTATGACTTGACTTGTGAATTGCTTGACTTATAGCAGGAACTCAACTTGTTTGATTTTCAAGATTTGTAGCTGTACAGAACACTGGACACTATGAATAATCAGCAGAGTACACTGTAATCATTTCCCAGATATGCTGAATGTAATGTTTTTATATTAAAGGTAATCCAGGCAGCATGCTACTGTAGGTTTGATTTGATTTGATTTATTCTTTCAAGCATGTAAAAACAGTTGATATGACAACACACATAATTTTACACACAATCCAATATCAATTTGCTTATACCTAGTACATGCTTGAATGGAGTAGGAAGAAGTCAGACTTATCTAGTCCTACCCCATGACATCATCTTACCATCATTGGTTTGCAAGCAGTATCTCTACATAAATAATTCTCTTCTACACCACACAAGTAATATACTAAAAAAATTATAACAGAGTGTTAACATTCTTACATAATTACATTCTTAAATAATTATCTTCTACACCACACAAGTAATATACTAAAGAATTATTACAAAGTGTTAACATTCATACACCACACCCACAATGTTCCATCTAATCAATCATTAAGCCTGTTCTTGAATATATCTTGATTGACACATACCTTTATATTTATGTTTAAACTCATCAATTCTATTACTATTTTTTATGTCCACACTTAAATTATTCCATAGTTTTACCCCACTTATAGAAATACAAAATCTTTTTTTGGTTGTACGTATAGCATGAATTTTTAAATTTAACTGACCCCTTAAATTGTATCCCCCTTCCCTTTCATTAAATAGTTTTTGAATTCCACCAGGTGATAAATTGTTCCTGGCTTTATACATAAACACAGCAGTCTTGTATCCCACTAAATCAAAAAAAATTTAGCAATTTAGACTGTTTCTTTTACAACATGCACTATTTAGCAAACAGACAGCAGTTGTGCATGAAGTTGATTTTTTTCTGGGAAAAGTTTTGATGCTTCAGATTCAGAATAGAACAAAAACTGGTTTGTAGTTTTGAGAATCAGTTTCATCCCAGATGCCCCTCTTCATATAGTCCTTCCTATGTTTTGCTGTGTCACTCTCAAATGGCAAAACCGTCACTTTTTTTCGTTTGTTTCTGTCCACGCCCAAATCTAACTTGTCCAACAACTATCACTGCCTGCAGCACTAACACACCCATATTCTTTGTGTCACACAGCAACGTATAAATACAGAGTGAACACGCACGTTAGACGTTAATCCTTTTGCTTTCTGTACCAGGTATGTAGTGGGTATTCTTGTATTTTATTTATTTATTTATTGTAAAACCTGCTGGAAACACAATGATTCAAATTAAGATCTTTGTTTGATTTTCATTTCCAGGAAACAACTTTGTACTACGCTTGTCAACAAGAGAAAATGAGTGATCGTAAGTATCTTTGATTAATTGCTATATTAGTAAAGAATGCTTTGGAAGAGTTTTGTCTGTAGATTGGCAATACTACACATAGCCTAAGTGGTAAACAAGTAGCATACAACATAGATATTTGTCCAAACTTGGATTTGAAGAATTATGGTTTCAGGAGTTCAAATACTTCACACAACAGCTGAAAATGGGAACATTTTGTTCATTGTTAAAGATAATTCAAGTCACTGCCTATCCTGTGTTGATGAGAATTCTTTTCATTACATGGAGCAGCATTGACTTCAATTCAACAAAAAGGTGTTTTGACGTTCTTCTCATACTGTCCATTTGCTAATTCTGATTTTTGTTTGTATTTTCTCTCTTAATTTCACATTACAAATGGCAAAGAGGTGAGGCACTTTGTTTTCCTTACAGTATAGTGCTTTAGATTCATGACCAACAGCATGAAAACGCCGACTCAAATTGTTTCTATGTTTTAGTGTCCCAAGGATAAGCCAGCCCAGGGGGAATGTCCCGGATCAGCTGGGGTAAGACACTGTTTCTTCTTAACACGTGCTTCATATTGTTTTGTCTCATTGGGTGATTCATAATTTTTTACTAATCTTGTGTTAATTTTGCATTATCCTTTATAGCCAGGAGGAGAGTGCCATAAGGTAAAACTTCTACAATCCTTTTTTAATTCAAACTATACAGCCAATTATATGTCTGTCTTTTCAGAAACGGACTGAGTCATTTTTCTTGTGGTTGTTTACAGGGGAAAGGACCTGATAAACACGGGCATGGACATGAACATGGACGTGGAGGTGGAGGAGAGTGCCATAAGGTAAAACTTCTACAATCTTTTTTCAATTCAAACTATACAGCTATACAATTATATGTCTGTCTTTTCAGAAATAGACTGAGTCATTTTTCTCATGATTGTTTACAGGGGAAAGGACATGAAGGACATGAACATGGACATGGACAGGATAAAAAATGTCAAAAGTGAAGAAATCTTTGAACTGTCATTTAGGCATATTACTTGTAAAGAAATGTAGAAATGCATCTTTAATAAATAATAAACCTATCCTACAATAAAGCAACTGTTTGTTCATTTAAATATAAAGTTAGCGACAGACTCCATATTAACACATGTATGCACAACAGATGCATGTAATCTTTTGTTCATTGTCTCAGGTTAGTCATTTAACAAGTCTAAATCCTCTATATCATCCGAGTATGGAAAATGGCTCATAACTATGTAGGGCAGAGTGTGACTCTTTGGAGGATGCACAGGTTGAGTTGGTGGGGGAAAAACAGCAAGGATGACAGGCTATGATGCAAATAACACAAAAAAAAAACTGTATAATGACAAATGGCACAAATGACCTGTTCCTAGCTACAACAAAGCATGTCAATGTAGTTCTAGTATTCACTGACAGAAACATCAATGCAATGTTACAGTGAAATAAAAAGGTAACTCTCCAAGTTTCCTATTGAGATTTATTGGAATAATATACTGGTTATTTGGTACAATATTAAGTAGCTTTATAGTTAACCATTTCTTATTCATATAATCAATAACTAGAACTACCGACTTGCAGTTGTATTCTCACAGTCTTCCATCCTTACATGAAGATGTTCATCATTGTATGCATGCAAGTCCAAATTCTCTACAACAGCAATATCCTCTGTTTGATACACTGTATGTTATCGTTTCACAGCAGACAGACTCACTATCCTTTGGTCAAAAAGCTGATTGTTAGCTGTCAGTGTGTGTTGCTTTGCTAAATAAAGGGTTAAAAAAATAGTAGCCAGTATACTGTATATAGCATCTGTATTTGCATGGGTAGAGATTTTATGTTTGCTAAAATCTTGGACATCCAGAAACAAATTTGACATATCCTGATGTTTCTGTTACTGCTAGGACTCCTTACTATATGCTGACACGTTAGAACTTGCTTTGTTAAATTACAAAACAAAACAAAACAAAACAAATCAGTAAAGCAACAATGTGAAGCAGGTGATGACTTGTAGAAAAATGTAACCCTCCCTATTGCATTGGAATGCAAGGAGACAGCAGACAGTTAACGTTCACTGCCAATCTCCAGTACTAGTACAGGCAACAGCATGACTTTTATGAAAATGTTAAATTCTCCTCCCCAGGCTTTGCCACGATCAGTCATCAAAAGCCTAACAGCTAAAACAAATTGTATCACCCTTATTATCTAAAACAGTCCAGTAAACTAATCCTGCTTCATGTTGGTTTACACATCCCCACACAACACCAGAGGCTAAAGTAAGAGTTTTACCTAAATTTACATGTGGACTTATAATCTTGCTAACCAAGTGATTTGTTTCTGATCATTTCTAATCTAACCGTTTTTAATCTTACGTAATTAAAACTAAATATTCACTACTTCAGTTTGTAGATATGTTGAACATTTATCACTGTGAACTAGAAAAGAGCATTGTGGTAATTTTCCAGCTATGCACCATATAATTTTGTTACATAAAACGTAATCAAGGCAGCATGTCTCTAGTTTTCTCTTACAGCATACAAACAGAAAACAGATTTGCATGGTCACTTTTCTGAGAAGAGATTTTATTCTTCAGAATAGAACAAAAGCTAGTCCTGAATGAGAAGGGTGAACCAGGCTGGTTACACCTCTCAAGAGTCTGCAAGAGTCCTTAATTTAAGGATTTGAATTTAAGGGACAGTCATTCACTCTCATAGAAAAACACAGTTGCTTTCCTGACCACACCCAAATCTTACCTGTTCAGTCACTACCAAACAAACCCATGACGCATTTCACAACATAAGGCCTGCAGCACAAACACACCCACACAGGCAGACCTGGACATCCCGTCAAAGTGGCGGGTCGACCTTCTGTGTAGACGGCCGTCAGACTCACTATCCATAAAATACACGACCTAAGTTAACAGCACAGAAACCAGCACTTTAAGTTTAAATACTGCACCTGGTGTGGATTGATACGTCGTGGTTGTAGGTCACTCACGCTACTATAAATAAATACAACACATGCACTTGTGTTCTTAAACACATTTTTCATATTCTAAAGAACATCTTTACAACAGATTTAATAAAAAAAAGTTAATATTATTACTGTAATGCTTCTTGTGTTCAACATACTTTGGATGCATTGCATGCTGGATATATCGAATATTTGGCACTTTAAAAGTGCCTCTGCCTCAGATGTTCAACAGAGCGCTCAAAGCAACACATTGCATAGTGATGCAACAACAAACTGCCAGTAAATAACCACTGTAAGGAAATATTTAATCAAATGCAATGATCTTTAGAACCATTATCTTAACATTCTATGTCTTTTCTGAGCAGCCACAATGCCCCATCCTGCATTTGTGCATATTTTCAGTACAGAAAAATTGTAAATGCTCAAATGCTCTGGACAGAGTTCATCATCCTGATGGTCTTGGGGAATTAAAAGGAAAAAAAAAACTAATATTGAACAAAAAACAAAAAAAACTCAACTCAAGAATAGGCTAGATAAAAGGAACTTCCATCTTAAAATAAAAAAACAACTTCCCATCAAGAAGACTTTATTTGATGTTTTGTGACAGAAAAGTAGCATCACTGGCTTTTCTCAGAAAAGCCCATTGACCTGTTCAGTCTCAGGGTCCAGGTCAATATCATAGAAACAAGGCCTGGTGGGCAGACCAGGGATCGTGGGCATCTAGGATTAAGACAGCAAGAAAACACACCATTATGAATAAAACCATTATGCAAGTCAGTTCTGGTGGCAAATCACACAGGCAGACAGAAACGCAAACATATGTTGTTTTTGTTGTCATTTGACCATGTATCGTTTCTGCCATTTCCTTTAATTTGTGTTCACAGTGTTCACACAGAAGCATGTGTTTGAAACAAAGCTGGCAATGTGTGGTCGCATGTTCATTACTTGAATGAAAGACTGAGACAGTTGAATACTATAAGCCATGGTTTGTTTTTATGCTTTACATGAAAGATATAAAACACAGAAAAACAAGTTCTGTACATTCTTATGCCGAGTACTTAACACTCACATTTTAATGTCACCCTAATGTCAATCTGGGGCAAAAGTGTAATGTAAATCATTTGTTTTGTGTAAATGAGAGCTTACCGTGCCAACCAGCGGGTACAAAAAGCCAGCGCCCACACTGGCTCGCACATCTCTGATTGGCAGGATGAACCCGGTGGGCACACCCTTCTTATCGGCTTCATGAGAGAGCGAAAGGTGAGTCTTCGCCATGCAGATTGGCAGACTGCCAAAACCCTGAGGGCAGAGGACGACACCAAAAATTGTACTGCACCTTTAACAAAAGGGCTATTTATTCATACTCCATTTAGTGATGATAATCTCTGTTGACAGCTGCAGCCAACAAACAGGCCCGACAAGATGGACAAAAAAAAGGTCTGTGAGAAATACTGACCTGTTTCGTGTAGAGCTCCACTTTGTGTTGGGCTTCGGGAAGAAGCTCAATATCATCCGCTCCGTAGATCTTCTGGGCAATTATTCGAATCTTATCAGCAATAGGGAGCTGAAGTGGAATAAACATATGGCTGTCAGTGTCTTTCTTTAGCTGACGTGTACAAGCAAGTGCCAAACGGTCAAAAAGGGCCCATTTTCAATATTAGATTGGAGTTTAGGGCCCAAACATGAGGCTATTGTTTTACTACATTAAACTATAGTGTTTTCACAGAAGGTGGATGCATTTACAAGATGGCATTTCCTTGAACATCTCTTTTTTTAACCTTCAACTGAATCTTCAGAGTCAAAGCATCAATCAAGGTTGGAGCCCATACCTCCAAATCATAGAGGAACTTGAAGTTGCTGGGGGCCCCAGAGGCCCTGTGGACTGCCTGACCCAGGGCCACTGCGCCAGCTCCACCCTCGGCCCAGTGGGAGCATCGCACGGCATCGAAGGCTCCGGCAGCTTTGGCCATGCTGCACACCAGGTCCAGCTCAGCCTCAGTGTCTGTCCTGCAGGTTGATGGAGCACAACACAGGGATTATACATAAACGGACAGAAGCTTCCACCAAAAACAAAACAAGGGAAATAAAAGGCTTTCAAGAACGAAAGAAAAAGAAACGTTTCCTCACTACATGTTAATTTACGACTCAATACACTTTCACTGCTGTATTTACACCTTTCTGCCTCAGGCAAGGGTAATATTTTCTTTCTGGGAATGGGGGGGCAGCACAACAAGCTGTAAACACATCACTGCTAAATTTCACCTTATAAAGTTGTTGTGGTAGGTTCCAGGTTCGGGCCCCACCCGGGACCTTTCTGTGTGGAGTTTGCATGTTCTCCCCGTGCTTGCGTGGTTTCTCTCCGGGTACTCCGGCTTCCTCCCGCAGTCCAAAGACATGCAGCTTTGGTTGATTGGTGACTCTAAACTGCCCATAGGAGTGCGTGTGCGTGTGTGTGGTTGTTTGTCTATGTGTTAGCCCTGTGATGGATTGGCGACCTGTCCAGGGTGTACCCCGCCTTCGCCCGATTACCGGCCGGGATTGGCTCCCCCCCTCCCCCCCTCCCGTGACCCCGCTCAGGGACTAAGTGGTAGAAAATGAATGAATGAATGAAAGCTGTGGTGGCTAACATGTTAGCAAACTGTTGCCTGCACATTCAGCGGGTATGAAGCAACATTAGCATTCATTTGAGCTGTGTTTGTGGCCGCCTGATAAATGTACATTTGATATTCACTCTCCGATGAGTTCTGTTTTACTTTTTCAACTCCTGAAAACATATCTGGCTCTTTAGCTGCTAAATGCTCCTCTTTGTGCACTAGCTAGTTGCTAACTTTGTCTGCCGTTTGATGAAAACTGCTTCCTGCTGCAGACTTATAAGGCTGTGGGCCCAAAAACCAAAACAATGAGCTGTAAATTGCTAAAATGCTCCACCGAGCTGAAGGTGGTTGATTTTTTTCTGTGGATTTGTCACTACAAAAGACCCCTTGCATACTTCATAGTCACCTGAACCAGTATGAATATAAAAATACTGATCACTTACTTGAAAGCATTGACAGCCACCACCACAGGCACGCCAAACTGGTGTGCGTTCTCTATCTGCTTCCTCATGTTGCAGCAGCCCTTCTCCAGCAGCTTGAGGTTCTACATGTAAGGACACACAACCACACTTTTAAATCAGTTTATGAGAAAGCCAGAAAGCGCAACAATCCTCATTCTACAAAAATGTTGTGTATGCGGTGTTAGAACTTTTACACTTGACGTGCTGCACTTCATGTAATGCACACTTGATGTGACTGAAATTAATATACAAATCAAAATAGAAAATTATTTGAAATAAAGACCACAACTTGGTAGGCTGCTCTTAAGAATTACCTCCTCAATGTATTCTTTAGGCAGTGGCATCCCAGCAGTGACCTAAACAAAAAGCAAGCAAAAAGTTTGTCTATGTAAATCATTCAGAAATGTGTGTTTAAAAGTCATAATGTGAAATTAATCATGTAAAATTATACACACATGTAAAAGCATGGGTTGTTTCTCAAAACAAAGTCACTAAACTAATTATTTGTTATTGGAAAGCTGAGGAATGCAGAAGGAATGTCACCGTTGGTCCTCCTCCGTGCATCTTCAGGGCTCGGACAGTAGCCACCAACACCACCACATGAGGCCTCAGACCTGAATAGCGGCACTTGATGTTGAAGAACTTCTCCATGCCAATGTCAGCACCAAACCCAGCCTCAGTCACTGTTGGACACAATGCATGAGAGACTAGTAACGGAATCACAGCTGTAAGGAAGGCAGAGTAATATCTTAAAACAGTATAGCATCTGCTACACCATCACTTGTACAATCCACATCTGTATAAGCAAACCATGTACCCCAGCAGTGTAGTACTAGATCAGGCATGAAAAAAGTTCATATTGATGAAAATAAGCAAGGAGTGAACTACGTTTTCATCTCCACATACCTACAAAGCCATTGGGTCCAACCAGCTTCAATGCTATTTTATCAGCCAGGATTGAAGAGTTGCCATGGGCGATGTTGGCGAAAGGACCGGCATGCACAAACACAGGGGTTCCCTGTGGATACATGTGACAAAACCCATAAATCAAGAAAATGTCATCTCTTTGGTGCACACTTCAGTCTGGATCAATGGAAAAATAAATAAACCACAAACTGTAACAAACAACCAGAACAATATCTGTCAAGGAGCTGAACTCTGGAAGTTTTAGAAACATGTTCTATGAATCTAAAATTGTATATCCACCTTGCCCTAAAAGATCTTGGTTTGTAAAGCTCTGTGTGTGCTCTGTTTCACCTACCTCCAAAGTCTGCATCAGGTTTGGCTTGACTGCATCTTTCATTAGCACAGTTAGAGCACCACTCACACCCTGTAAAGCAAAATATTACATTAGAGGAGACTTGTAGCTGCAATGCTAATATAAAAGGTGGCAACATGAAGGAGACTGCGCAGCACTAACCAGGTCCTCGGTGGTGATGGGCTGTCCACTGTGGCTGGTGGCCACGACCATTTTCGCCAGACGCTGTCGCATGTCCTCCAGGCTGCTGGTGAGGGCGAGAACTGCCATAATTTCACTGGCCACCGTAATGTCGAACTGGGCCTGTAGGACAGAGTGAGGAAATACACGCCCCCTGGTCAACAGTGATGTGAAGTAAAATTTTTTTTTTTACTCAACTAATTTGCTTATACCTCTCTTGTGTATCCTTTTTCTGTTGGTGATTGGCCGATAGTAATCTTCCTTAGGAATCGATCATTGGTATCCAACACTGAAGTCACACAAATATTTTATAACTTGTACATTTTCTAATTCGACATCCAATACTGAGGCACAAAATATCTGATTTCTGAGGACTAAGAGACACCTTAGAAGTTCGTACCTCTCTGCCAGGTGACAGAGCTTGGGTCAATGTCTAGGCGGGCAAATTGGGTGATCTCTTCTTCAGTCAGAGCAGAGGGATCAGTCTTCTCTATGCCAAGTTTCTACACATATACAGAAAGCTTCAATGTACAAGGCGCCTTGAACTCTGAGATGCATAAATACCTACGAGTCGGTGAATCTCTTGCTTACTTTTAGTCTGTTAATCTGGATGGGAGAGAACTTCCTCTCTCCTCCACAAAGTGGAACCAAACGATTATACAGAGCCTAAGAATGCATACAAAAAGAACGATAATAGGCAATCTATCAATTTACTTCAATCTACATCAAGAGAAAAAATGGAATACCCACCTTGTCAGACTGTGTAGCCTCGTGGAATATGCGGGCATCAATTGCAGCAGCCACCAAGTTGTTGGCAGCTGTGATGGCGTGAATGTCACCAGTGAGATGAAGGTTGAACTAAAAAAAAAAAACACTCATTAATGAAGTGCTACATTGTATGTTCATACAAGCAGCACAGTTTCTACCCCAAACAGCTGTGCAGTACCTCTTCCATTGGAATGACTTGAGAATATCCACCTCCTGCAGCGCCACCTGCAGACAGAGGACAAAAACAAAATCAGCTGGAGCAGCTCCGAGCCTGCACAGCATGTGAGGACACATTATTCCAAAGCTCACCTTTAATGCCAAATGTGGGTCCCTGAGACGGCTGCCGGACACAGGCGAACACATTGAGCTTCATGTGGGCTCCCAGGGCCTGGACTAGGCCAATAGTAGTGGTGCTCTTTCCTTCACCCAGAGGGGTGGGTGTAATGCTGCAGACAGAAAATCTTGTCAGTACTGCACATACAGACAGCCAACAAATTAAAGGACAAGCCTGACTAAATGCGTGGTCTCTTCCAGGATGCTCCCATCCATAGGGCAGGAGGGGCCCACTGAATGAGCGCTTATCTCTCCACTAGAGTTCAGAAACTTGGCACATCAAAACTGATCTCGCACCACGTGTGGCCTAACACTTTAATAAGACATTCTGTTGGGTTTTCCTTTCATTTGTCACCTGTCTGTACTTGCCAGCTTGACTCAAAGTTAGCTTCATGTGCCATAAGATAGCAACATTTGCATTTGCATAATCTTGCAGATTAACTTGTGCAGCAACAGTCTGACACTTCTTTTGATGACAAAATATCAAACTGACTTAGTTCTGTGCTTTGGCAGGTAATTTCTGTAACTTAACCAGCTCTCGGCAGCAGGAAAAGATTGTCTTAAGGCCAGGGGAAAACAACAGTACAGCAGACAAACATCCTGACAGCATACCCAGTGACCACCACATATCTGCCGTCCGGCTGGCTCTGCAGGCGTTTGATGATATGCAGCTGCACCTTGGCCTTAGTCTTGCCATAGAGCTCCACTTCATCAGAGAGCATGCCCACCTCTCTGCTTAGACAGTCGATGGGCTTGGGCACACAGGAGCGGGAAATCACGATGTCACTTTTGGAGTTATAAATAAAAGGTCACAGAAAGTCATTTCATCTGTACAAGGGATAAAACAGCAAGCACTGTAACAGAAAGAGCACAATCAGATTTCTAGTGTGAAGGAAAAAATAAAATAAACCAGCTCCTCTTCCATGTATATAGATTATGGAACTGAACAAACCATTTGGTGATCAGTTAAAAAAACCACATGACTAAGAGTGCAGAAAGATAGGGAGACCAACCTTGGCACAGGCATCTGGAGATTCAGTTTGTTGTAAGAAATGTTCCACTTCCCCGGCTGATGTCCCTCCAGGAAGCGCTTTGCACTTAGTACTGTATTCTAAACACACACAAATATGCTCACAGTCACTAATGGAAAACAGACAATTTCATTCTTTAGAAAAAAAGTGTATTTTTCAACTTTATATACAGAGTTCTCACATACTGTACTACTTTAATAATGCTACCAATGATAATAAGAAAATCCAAGATCATGTACCTCCAATAAAAATGCAATAATTGCAGCACTGTGGCAAATCATGACAAAGCAACTATCTGAAAGAGCAGATTATCTCCTGCACAAAAGTATTAGTTCAGTTGAACATCTCTGCATGCAACACTGAGGCTGGTCAGGTACTGATAGTTTTACCGCCATCAGCATGGCCACAGTCATAGGTCCCACACCACCAGGCACAGGGGTGATGAAGCCAGCCTGCTCCTTGGCAGAGTTGTAGTGGACGTCACCCACCACCCGCTTTCCACTGGCTTTCGTCTCATCTGAAACACACACAGAAAGTGTGATGTAAATTATGTAAAAGTTTCACTTAAAGCAAACTCCAGAGTCACATAACTGTTATGGACAGCAACGCCTTAGAAACAGTCAAACCTGGGATGTGGTTGATGCCACAGTCGATGACCACCGCTCCATTCTTGATCCACTCTCCTTTCACCATCTCTGCTTTCCCAATGCCAACAACCAAGATGTCTGCCTTTCCCACCTAGACATAAATAGACACAAATCAGTGCATGATTAAGAAAAGAATGTCGTGTATTATTAATCATGGTTACTTTTAACAAGACTCTACAGCAATTTTCAGGTAATACATGAGGTTATAGTTTAGGCCACTTGATGACAGCAAAGTTCTGGAATTATCATCAGCAACTAACTGTTTATGGACCTTTTAAATATGTTTCATAGAAAAATGCATTAGACTTCTCCTCACCACTATAGAGAAATACAGACATTTGCTTGGAAAAATTAAGCAAACCAGGCAGTTGGCTACATTATGTAATTGTTTTAGCTAAAGTCTAACTGATGCTCTGCTTGCACTTCTGTGAGATACACATGTATTATGATGTTACAATGATATCCAGGGCTACTTTCCTAAACTGACTGAGGGTGTTGCTGTTGTACCTCTCCAGCAAGATCAGTGGTTTTAGAATGGCAGGTGGTAACAGTGGCGTGGCTCCACAGCAGCAGGTCATGCATGGGTGCGCCCACAATCTTACTGCGACCAATCACTACTGCTTTCTTTCCTGCTATAGACACACCTGCAGAGAAGCGGCTGAACCATCAGTTCATTCACACCATGTTCATTTCTTTGTTGTAGTGCGTGCATTTTCACATCACAGACTTTTGGTGGTATTAGGTGTACAGTATTTACCTGTCTGTCTGATCAACTCCATGCAGCCATTTGGCGTGCAGGGAATGAAGCAGTCACTCAGGTCTCCACGAGCCAACTTCCCTGCATTTATGCTAGTTAGTCTGCAAAAAGAGCAAAATGCACATGAATAAATTTAATACTATAACGTAACAGTGACAAAAAATCTAGAAGTATCCAAGTAAGTTGAACCTTTTAACCATAAAAAACACCAGTTTGATTCAAAAGAAGAGTAAAAATCAGCACCCTGATCTTCACTTTGTGCATTGCCTACCCATCTACATCCTTCGCTGAGGCCACAGCGTTGGTGACCCTCTCTGTGTCGATCCTGTGGATTGAGTCTAAGGGCAGCTGCACAATGAGGCCGTGAACAGATGAGTTCTCATTCACCTCATTGATAGCGTGAAGAACCTACAGAGAACGATACGTTTACACATAACATGATTTGAGAGCTTTGTTGAGCACTACAAGAGAATCAGGGAGTGTATGTTTAATTGTATGTCTGTGCTTACAGAAGAATGCAAAATTGGGCTATACTCAAATCTGTCCTTACCTCCTCTTCTGTTGCCGTCTTGGGAAGTCTCAAATGTGTGGCATTTATTCCAATCTGCAGACAGAAAATAGGAGTTTAGTCTTAAAGTTAGGATCAACTGTAACAATGTACAGTAGAACTGTGGTGTGTGGTGTTACACACAAATCCTCTGACTATCAAAAAATACTCTTTTACCTCTGCTGCTGCCTTCAACTTCATGCTGATGTAGAGATTTGAATCCTCACGGTCTCCAACCTGCAGAGATGCACAGTATCAGTTTGCCTGTCTGTATGAAGGGACAGGCCACATGCCATACAAAGATAAATATCTCCATCTACAAGAAGGAGAGTTTAGTGGAATACAACCACACACTATGTATCCATGCAGTAGCACGCAATGACAAAGTCAAGCACGCAAATCTTTACCTGACAAACATCTCCATGGGGCAGCCATTGGAAAGCACATGGCAAAAATTATCCACCACACAATTCAAAAACATATTTTAACCATAATGACGAAGGTCATCTCACACTTACCTGTAAAACCACTAGACCAGGTCTGAATTCGGGGTCCTGAAGCGTCATGTGCTCCACTTCCTTCTTCAGACGCTCTCTCACCTGTCTGAGAAAACAAGACAAGTCAATAAAACCCTGACAGGTGTACCATTCATGCAGTCATTCCCTCCTCTTGCTGATTTTGTGCCCAAATAGATGCTATCTAATTGTGAAACAGGTAATTTTCCAGTCCTGGGCCATGAATCCTGGCTACACATGCAAAGCCAGGACATCAGATTGATTTCATTAGACTTGTCTTATCTTTGGTCTTGGTCTTTGCTTTATATGTAGTCGTTTAATGATTTGGAGACTCGAAACATTCCAGTACTGTGTGTGAAGAGATAAGCCACAACTGAGCCTTATCAAGCCAAAGACTTGTCAACCAATCAAAGACAAACCAGAGAGCAGTGACGCTAAGTTAGTGGACTTTAGCTTAGGAAAATTAAAATCTGTTTTAAGAGCCATAATGTTTATTTGAACAAAGCTCAACTCTGACCACATTTCTTTTTACACAGTCATTCACACATTAAATCTACTTATCTCATAAACAGAGTCACTCAAAAAGCACTAACGATTGATTGATGGTAGTGTTTAAAACTCTGACCTAACAAACAGATTTAGATTGAAACAGTGTCTTTGTGCATCAGTGATGAAACACACCATGAAATTACTAATGATGACAAATGCACAACACAATAAAGTGACACCAATTTGTACCAGTGACCTTTCAGTGACTGGTGTTTTATATAGTTATCTTTTTGTATTTTTTGTACTTTTTACACAGATAGACTTGATCCAAACAATGTCTTCAAGCATCATGATCATCAAGCATTTTCTGAGGGTTGTGATACAGAGAAAAACAATGACATCTACAGACAGGTGACAAATTAAAGGGAAAACGTGAATACTAAATCATTCACAGGCGTCATAAAAACAATGCTTATAACATACTCTATCACTGTATCATTATCACAGTGATGACTGATAAAACAATTCCTGGTCATTGATCAACTCAGGCCATCTACCTCTAAACAAAGGGCATTCATACTACAGTGAGGAACAGAAGTATTTGAACACCCTGCGATTTTGCAAGTTCTCCCACTTAGAAATCGTGGAGGGGTCTGAAATTCACATTGTAGGTGCATTCCCACTCTGAGAGACAGAATTTAAAAAAATTTCAGGAAATCACCTAAATATCCTGCACCTTGTTGGTGAAGGGAGAGTTTAGTCACTTTACTAAACATACTGGCTTTTTAATGTTTGCACTAAATAACTAGATTCATTCAGACCTAGAACTATCAAAGAGGGGACAGATTTTCACAGTGAGTTCAAATATTAGAGACAACTGCATGATTATTTTTTTTAAAGTTCGGGGTTTCTGAGTTTCACAAGTGTTCAGCTTCTCCACTTGAGTTCACTGAGCAAACAGTGCAAAGATCATATAACTCTCAACTTCTTACACAATAATGCAGGATTTGCAGCTATTCATTCCAAAGATTTCCTAGATGACCTAACCTGATGGATCACCACCGAATTAAAAATGCAACATGCATTTACTGTCGGGAAACAAGAAATTTCCATGCAATCTGTGAAAGACTTCTCAGCTGATTACCCACAATAGTACAAAACTAGTATAACTAACTCAAAATAAGTTATGAGATCGTTTGCCGTTGGACAAGATCAGTTTCTTTAACAGTTGCATGTAAAATGTGCACAATGCCGGGATAACTTAGACAAGTTGTTTTGTGATTCAAGCAACTTTAGCTATTAAGTTACTGTGACTAAATAGATAACGTTAGTTAGCAAGGACGTTAGCCACCACACAGTCATGCTTCGTCTGCCTGCACCTGTTTGGCTAATGTGCTGGATAAAATCTAATACTTACGATGAAACCTCTTTCCCACTTATAATCTGAGCAGGCATCTCGTAGTCTTGTAAACCCGTGTTCTCAGATGCTGTCGTCTCCTGCAAATTCTCTGCCTGACAAAAAATGGAGCACGTGAACTCTTCCAAAAACGTGGGTTTATTCAAGAAATGTCAGGAGTAGGCTCCATTAACAAGCACAGCACTACCGTTATGAAAATCTATGTATTAACTTTCGAGAATAGCGTCGAACGTAGAACGTACCCTCGTCAGTGTGCGTAATCACAATAAGGGCGGGGCTACTGGCAAACTGGCAACTTTGACAGCCAATCATACACGTTTTGTAGCATGCTAGTAGACCGTTTTGACCAATAACATCCCCAGTTCTGCTATGCTACCCACGAGGAGCGACATGGGCGGGACACTGTAGTTACACCGAGAGTCAGCAGAGGGCAGCATCGGGCGGTCACTGAAGAAAAATAGGACTACAATTGGAACTAGAGAAATGTATTTCCTGTCGAAAATGCGTGTGGATCCTGTTATGCGGAAGGATCTCCCTTTAAATGCCTGAAATCAATTGCTGAAACAGCTGAATGATGAGAAGAAATGGCTGAAGTTCTTTGTTGAAATAATTGAGAAGACATGGCTGAAATTCTTTGTTGAATAAGCTGAAGGATGAGATACAAACTCAACACTCAAACAACAAAAATAACGGAATGTCCTTGAGTGAGTTGTATGAGAGCAAGAGAGTAGTTCTACACCCTGAGGACTACTAGAGTGTGGCTAATGAAATGAAACATAAAATGTAAACAGCCATTATGCAAATGCATAAAAGATAAAAAATCTGTGTACAGTATGAAAAGCTGAAGACTTACTGATTAACAGTTGAAATGGTGTTTTTAGCTCAAACTATGCTTAACTTAAGATGCGAACATTTTTCACATTCATTTGGATGGGGGAACATTTGCTGAAAAAAGATTAATATTTTAAACAGTATAAATGTTCCAAAAAAGAAATATACAAGATGGAATGTCCCAGAAGAGCTGAACATCTGAATATCTGAATGGCCTTTCTAGCTGAAAGTATAGTGAACGTATTAAGATGTGAACATTTTCCCATTGGTCCCCACAAAGAAGGTAAAACAAGTATTTTTGTGTCTATGTGTGTGTATGAGAAAAAAAGAGTGGTCCTACAAACTGAAAAATACTAGTGTGGCTACTGAAATGAGACAAAAAATGTAAACGGTAATTATACAAAAACCATTAAAAAATATCAAAAAGCTGTTTATATTATGAATAGCTGAAAAGTTGCTGAGTAGTTATTAGTTGAAATGGTGGTTTTAGCTGAAGGTATGCTAAAGATATTAAGATACATTTTTCCCATTCATTTGAGTGGGGCAAAATTAGCTGAAAAAAGCTGAATTTATTAAAAAGTATAAATGTACAAACAAGAAAAATACAAGCAAGCATGTCCTTAAAATGCTGAACATTTTAATACCTTATTGGCCTTTCTAGGTAAACGTATCCTGGAGTTATTATGTGCTGAAAAACAGATGGAAGAACCCAGAATAATAAAGAATAGGATAATATACTGTGGATGCATTACTACATCCACACAATAAATAAATAAGAAGAAAACAATAGTGTGGATGCTTACTCAGCATCCACACAATAATAAAGATTTGGAAAACAGTGTGGATGCTGATTCAGCAATGAAAATACTCAATGCAATGAGCAATTGAGTATGAACATATGAATGACAAGGTACTAAAATTGCTATGCATGAGTTTTGTGTAGTATGAATGTATGAAAATTGTCCAATCAGTTCACTTCCTTGTAGTTTCACTTTGTCACCTCCTCGACACTGTGTGCTTTTTTCCCATCCTCACCGGCTGCAATGTCTTTCTCTCAACTGCTCTAAGCATCACTGACCTCAGCACTTCTGACTTGCACTCCCTCCTCATGAGGGTCAAATAGATGAGAACGCAGCTGGGTCATAACCAGCATCGTCATCAGGGGGAGCGTCAACTTCACTCAAACTCCCTCCTCATCCAAGGAATCCCTTGGATCTCATCTTCCTGCTTTCGAACCATGATCAGCTCCAAGTCATCTGTCTTCAGGATCTTTCACACCACATACGGGCCTCCTCTGTGAGGGAGGTCTCACTTCCTCCTGATCACCTTGTACACAAAATCTCCTGCTCTCTCTTTGGACTGTCCATTCCCCAGACCTCTCTGACCTGCAAAGAGACAACACAGGCCACCCAGGAGCAAATACTCCTGCACATATTATAATAATAATTTATTTGTTTATATAGCGCTTTACAAAACCAAGGGCAGCTCAACGTGCTTCACAATAAAATAAACAGAGATAAAACAGAGCATGCCAAAATACATAAACAAAAGAAAAGCTAACATTGCACAAATTTAAAACAATGATCTGTAAGAACTATAACACTCCTGTAGAATAAAAATGAGTCAAAATACAGAGAGAGTAAGAAGTAGACTTAAAAACCATTAACTCTGTTATAGATCGAACCTCAGGGAGCAGGGCATTCCAGAGCTTAGAGGCATACACGGTGATAGAAAGATCTCCCCACTTTTTATACCTTGCCCGCGGGACAACCAGAGACACATTCTCAGAGGAACGGAGCGCTCTGACCGGGGTATAAACAGCTAAAAGATCGGTCAAATAGACTGGCATAAGACCATTAATGGCCTTGAACACAAAGTAAAATTTTAAATTCTATTCTAAACTGTACCAGAAGCCAGTGAAGGGACTGAAGAACCGGGGTGATGTGAGCATTCTTTGGAGTGTTTGACAGTAGGCGAGCAGCCACGTTCTGTACAAGCTGGAGCCTGTGGAGTTGAGACTGACTAATTCCTGTATAAAGGGCATTGCAGTAGTCAAGTCGTGAGCTAATGAAGGCATGAATGGCTTTTTCTAGGTCGGCTCGAGATAAAAAAGGTTTCACCTTTGCTAGGAGCCTCAGCTGAAAGAAGCTTATTTTGACCACCGAACTAATCTGCTTGTCAAATTTGAGCTGCTATCAAATAACACTCCCAGCTTTTTCACTGTTTGAGTGAATAATGGGGCTGAAGCTCCTAGGCCAGATACAGTGTGAGTGGGGTCTGGGCTAAAAGCAATATATTTTGTCTTCCCCTCATTTAAATGAAGGAAGTTCATGCGAGCCACTCTTTAATATCACCCAAACACCTGTGCAAGGG